TTTGTGTACACGATTTTTGAAAGGTGATCAGCTGGGTTCATTGTTGTTTTTTTTGTTGAATTTCATTTATTAGAAATGCCATCACTCTGCGTTGTGCAATTGTTATTTACTTTAATTTATACCATGTTATACTTTTATACATTTGCAAACTTTATATATTTTCTTCACCTCAAGTCTCAGGCTTTGTAGCATTAGTGCCCTAACCTGCGGTCAAGTGCTTGCGAGGGTGGTAAATGGAAGGGCACATGACCATTGGACCGTGACTTCTCACGCCACCACCAGTGAGTCTTGCTTGTCTGCCTTTCCATTTCTTCTTCGTAACACTTGCTCGGTCATCAGGTTATGCCAGGAGAGCTACGGGGGGGGGGGGACCTTTGGTTACTGTGGTTGAAAGTACCCTAATTATTACAGATTCCTAATTTTAAACAAAGAATTAATTATCGCGTAATTTCGCGAGAAGCACAACTCGCAATTGAATTTACTTGTTTATATTTTTATGGTACTGAAATCCGTATAAAATCTCTTGATCGACAATTGCGAAATATTGTTTCGCGATTTGATGTCAAAGAGCCATTTCGCTGTATTAAAAACTCGCGAAAAATAAGGAAGCTACAGTAGTTCTTTTCCTGGTTTGCAAGGTCTGCAATCTCTGTAAAAATTTTCTTTAAAAAACCTTTACTGTTAATGCTTTATCTTGCATTTAAATGCAATTTCTTTATTATTTTTTGAAACCATATTTGTTTTGTGAAAAATTAGAATTTTGAATTCGAAAGAAATTAGTCTTCATGTTGAGTTTAGGAAATTTGTGTTTATGTGTGAAGAAAATATGACCGATGTTGCCATGAATCAAGTTTTTCACTTGTTGAAAAGTTGAGTATTGCAGAAGTTCTGAGAATTTTAAAGGTCTTTTCAAAAGGTTTTAAAAACTTTAAAGAATTTGATACGTTGTACGTTATAGTCCTGAGTAATTTGCAGTGTACTATTGGTTATGTAAGAAGTCAGGTGATTTTAAGACATCCTATATCAGGCAAAAAAATCCTCTCTCTCTCTCACACACACACACCCTCACACACACACACACACTCTCTCTCTCTCTCTCACACACACACACACACACACACAGAATTCAGTTCAATATCTCATTGAATATGTCACTGACAAGTGTAATAGATATATAAAATATCCTTTAGATTTGTAAATTAACATGATAAAGCTACATTCTATAGATTCATTAAAAGCATTATTATTGTTTTTTTAATTATTTTTTTATTAAGAAAAAACTAAATAAAAAATTAATTTCAATTGTGGTATTTTTTATTTTGTTAATATCCAATAAAGTGCATTCCAATCTTAATAAACTTGAAATACTAAATCCTTTCATTTAAAACTAAATAAAACTCAGGAGCGGTTTTTTTTCATGGGGTGGGAGGGGATGGGTCAGACTCGGAAACAAAAAAGTAAAAACTTGCACAAATATAAAAAACTATTTCTTTGCTGCGGGGAGGGGGGGGGGAGTGTAAGAGAAGACACTTTCCTTAGTCAAATTTCTATTTTCTTCAAATAGATGACACTCCCTACCTTTCAAGAAGAGTACATGTGCGTGTTTCCCTTGGGGGGGGGGGAGAAAAGTCATTTTTCATTACTTTTTTAAAAGAAATTTGATAACTCTGAAAGTTCCACATGGATGGACCCCAACCCCAAACCCCCTTTAGATCTGTCCCTTAAATTAAAGTGACAGAAAGCTGAATTTGATAGGTATTTAAAAAGGTTTCACATATTCTTATCTTTTAGCACTCAATCAGAACTCATGTATTAAAAATTAAGAAGCAATTGTACATACATCAACGAATAGAGACTTGAACTTAGGAAAATAGGTATCTACTAGAATAAAGAAGGCCTGCAGGAACTGAGAAAGATATCCTACATCCTTTAAGACATGATGAATAAATGTACATGTTACTGCAATCCTCAGTCTCAGAAATGCATGTCACAGGATTACACCTACCTCTATGCTTCATTAACGTACACAGAAAATGACCCAAATTGTAACAACAAATACAAATTACGAACATATTTATTTTCATTTTAATTTGAGCTGATACTAAGAAATATTTACATAAGGATTTTTGCGGGAACATGTCTACTTATTTTTCACTTTTAGACAAAGTACCTTTTCAAAGTTAGTATTAATGGCTTTTAAAAAAAAAAGAAGAACAGTTAAAGATTTTTGGAGGGCTTCAGGGGAAGGGGGGGGGGCTGGAAAATGCCATTTTGACACAAGATATAAAAGTTTCTTTTTCCATTTTTGCTCAAATTTATTGAATTAAGGTCAGACGATACGTTCCTCAAATATCTGTTTTGTATATCTTCGTAATGTATGAAAAATATTCAAAATTTTAATTACCTTCTGATTTCTAAACCAGTTTCTAAACGTCTTTAAAAAATCCAAACACTAAAAAATTTGATATTGGTAAATTACATTTTTTGCCAAAAGGGTTATATAAGAAAAGCTACCATCTGGTATCTTGCACAAATGCCTGGTAAGGTACCTCAATTTTTTGTGAGTTAACATGTTAAAGTAGCAATACTTCAATGACAAAATCTTGGAAAAATACATATATTATTGAGGAACGTATCGTCTGTCCTTAAAATGTTAGCAATTGAGAGTTAAAGAAGCGCAGAGCGCTTTCAGCAACGTGTGCTCTGACCAAACGGGCTCTAGCACCTTCACCTTCCACCACGTCCTGTCCACTTTCTGTTGGGATAATGCCTCCACTGTCCTTGCCCTCAGCTGAATCGTGATCATTCTCCGTTAAAGATATACCCTTACTCTCGCAAATGTTATGCAAGACACCAGTGTTAATAATTGCCTTTACTGCTGTTGCTAACTCAACTGTAATTGTACCACCTATAAAAAAAGATAAGTATACGGTTCATAGTTTAAAAAGTTTTCTTTCCATGATATGCATCATTTGCTATTTACGGCGAGTCGTTTGTCAATGTATTTTCTTTATGAAAAAGGCTTTTACCTCAATTACCATTTTGTTCTTTTTAACTTAATTGTTATAAATTAACAAAACCTAGATTTTTTTTCCGTGATTAACTCTTTGTAGATTCAAAAATGCTCGTTTAAATCTACATTTGGATATTCTATCAATTACGAACTTATTTCAGCGATATTAGTGTTTGGACTACAACTAATTTAAAATTAACGGTATAGAAACACGAGAAAAAAGGCACTGAATTTAACTGCTTGTAACAAAATTTAAGTGAAATATAAGAGCTATTAAATGTAGAAGTTCTGTTCTAGTAGTGTAATGTTTCATAAAGTTGTTTTCCTCAAAATTAGATGAAATTTAAGTAATAAAATATGAAGATATTGAATAGTAGTCAAACTCAAGAGTCCATTGAAAAAAAGAAAAAAAAAATGGTGCAGAGCAAAAAAAAAGTTCTAAAACATCAGAGTGTGATAAGGTGCCATGGAGGAGTAAGCATACCTCGGAAACCGGTCACAACCGCCGTGTGCTCCTTGTCATGATTGGGCAAACATCTGTAGACAGTTAAGAGTGAAAATAATGGCCTAACAATTTGTATGTTCGTACGTATAACATGCTTTTTGCGTACGAAACCAACTCGGAGACATAATGTCCCTATGCAGGTGATAATGAATATTGCTGAATAAGGGAAGTTAAGAATAGAAAAGCGAAGCCATCACGTTTATCATAAAGTTTTGTTGTTAGTTTGCTTTTATCGTTTTTAGTCATTAAAACATCCGAATATGAAACACATGTGTCATACTCTGTAGTATCTTTCGAGTTCAAAGGGATATATCGATCAAAGTAGAAATGAAAATGAATATTGTTAATTGATAAAATGCCTTCGATATATCTAAATGTTAAATTGAAGTACACAGCAAAAGACTTTTCAGGTTTTTGAATAGATTCTGTTTCTGTATATGAATACAAAAATATCTCTGCTTATAACGGGTTGCATTAAGCACCTGTGGAAACTCCATCAGTTGAAAAGAACAGATCTGAACTCCAAAATCTACGTATTGTCAATGGTGATAACAATATCAAACGTTGACGTTATTGTTACTTATTTATATTTCACATGTATTTTGAGCTCTGGCATTCAAAACACGGACTGAGAGGTCAAAAGGTTAAGATAATTATTATTATTGACGTCACAAACGTTGAATGCAGTGCAAGTGCAACGTCATAAACGAAAATCAAAATTCACGATTTTATAAGTGGTTGCTGGTGGAATGGCTCTTCTATTAATTTTAGCTTACCCGACGGATAATACAGGGGTTTTGAAATGAAAATCTTATTTGCAGACAAGGCAATGAGTTTTAAGATATAAATATAAGCATTGAATTAGTGCAAACAAATTTAGTAACGCGCTACACTACATCTTTCAAAATATAACAATTAAATGCTTTTAAAAGTGATAATAATGACGTCAGTGTCTGAATTCTGTTTAATTGTATCATATCTCTGTTTAGATAGAAATACCTTTTAAAGGTAAACAGCCTTTCTTATCTTTTTTCTTTTAACTTCATAAAAACGCTACGATTAAAAAGATTTATGAAAAACATTGCATGCATTAGGTGTTTTAAATTATACAGAATCTTTTTTTCTTTTATATTCTAATTCAACGAAATGGTAAAATATCTTGTCTCTGATACAGTGATGAAAGTTTGAGTGGTCATGACTTCTTTGGAAGAGTAGGGAAAAGCAGTGCTGCAAGTTGATGTATCTGTTTTATTAGAAGGCCGAGGCACTGCTTTTGAATAGATCAATAATTTATTGTTGTAAACAACAAATAAATAAAATACCTTTCTTCTATACAAGGAGCCTTTTTAATGTTTAACACTACGTCAATTAATCAAAATCCATATAAACGACGTATGATTAAAGAAAACATGTATAATATAATGAGCAAGCTTAGAACACATTATTCAAATATAGACAATGTAGTCATTGTGCACTCCACATCAATCATTTTCGATTGACAAATGAAGCTGCAAATGTTTCGAATGTATGTCACAAAACTGAAGATATTGTATCACTTTGTGTGTCCATTGATATGAACAGTACTGTTGGTGTCATCATTCACGTCGAGAATGTTCTTTTTCCTTGAGAGGTCAATATCCACCACCACGGGTTCATCTGCTTTAAGGTCCTCTAAATGCTGCAGTATTTTGTCAGCGCACGTCCTGATGACTTCGTATGAGTACCGTATGTCGTCAGACGTGGTTCGCTCTGCTACAACTGCCAGTCGAAGGAAGTACGTGTCTCTACTGAAAGCAGGGATCATGTATATTCTTCCGTCGTCCAAAATCTCGCTGAGCAGTTTCTCTGTTACCTTGTTTCCCTTCTGTTAATAACAAACACAGGAATTTCAAGTTTTCTAGACATAAACATAGCATCTCTGTCATACGACAACAACTAGAAATTCAATTTATCAAATAAATAATATTTGTAAGTAGAAACTAACAAACTTAATCTGCTGCAAAGAGCAGAGTCATGTCATTTTACTATTATATATATATATATATATATATATATATATATATATATATATATATAAGTTAATGATATTATCTACAGAATTTATAATTTCTTTTATATCGAATAACCCCTACACTATATTTCTGGCATTGAATTTATCAATGTTCGTTATCTTCACCCTATTTTATTCTATGAAATACTTGAATAACCTATACAAACCTTGAGTCTAAAGCAAACAAGTCCCATTACTGTTTCGGATGTTATCTCGAATCGACCATCGTCCAAAATCAGCTTTTCGAAATTTTTTGCCAATTGACAATGCTAAAAAAGGATTAGCTAAATATAAAAAAGGACAACATATTTTTATCCATAAAAATCTTTATCAATACTGGAAAACCTTCTTCTAATAACGAATTTTACTTTCAGCATGTACTCCAAACCTCCAAGGACTAGGTATTTTACTTAAGCATTCCAGTATGAAGCGATTATGTTTAAAGTTATGTCACCCAACAAGGAATGAAGAAATTAAGTGTACATGTACAAAAATAGAGTGTGATTCTTGAGATTCTTTTATTTTAATTTTAAGGAATTTTTGAAGACATTTGTCCAGATTTCTTGAATATGATTATGAATAAAAATTGAGATATGATACGAAGTACAAATGCATTGTGAATATTTGCATTGTGATCAAATTTGTGATATTAACAATTGTTTTTGTAATATACTTTGGAAAAATGGATGATTTTTAAACTGAGCAGGACATAAAATAAATTAATGTTCTTAATCTTTTTTCAAAGTATTACCAACAATGTAGATCATTCTAAGATATTTTTAAGTAGGGATGTCAAAATATTTATTTTCCTCAGTCGATTATTCGATTGCGTTATTCAAACGATAGTCGACTATTCTGAACACTTTCTGAAAATGAAATGTTATTTCAAACTTCACTAGTACATGATGTATTCATAACTAAAAAATTCTTTCACTTAAATCTACAAAAAGTAACATCAAGTTAATGCAACGTGTCACATGATATGAAATAAATTTAGACAGCTACACATACATGTAATTCTCCAAAATGTATGATTTCCCCGTTAATTGAATTCATAAATCGGTATGCACAGTTAGTTTTTATTTAAGTAAGCATTAAAAGATGCCGGTCGATATTTTTTAAAGCTTAATTGTTTTGAAATAAATTAGGATGGGGTGGGGGTAATCTCACACTATCCGCACATCAGGTGCCTGTGAAATTGTTAGACAGTTACTTAGATACTGCTTATTCAATTATTGATTGCTCCGGCTATCAAAATGTCCTTAAAATGTAAGCGAATTGTTTTATTAATTTTCGGAGTGTCAAAATATGTCACGGCTAGGGTGTGTTCCTTTCATTTGAAAAATCTTCAAATATCAAAATATAATTGGAACATGGTATATGCTCAAGTCCAATTTATAATTTTTCAAACAAAGTCCAGTATATTGATGGATCATTTATTACAAAAACAACACAGGCAGTAACTTACAAATAATTCTCGCGGTAGTGAAGCTTTAATAATGACTTTACTTTTTCAGGTATACATGAAAAGTCAAATATCATATAGACTGCCTATAAAGAAGATGGTTTCTCAGTTTTGAGATGAAAATTCCATCTCTTGATCATATTTTTATTGCATTTACTTAATAATTATATTCGAATGTCGTTTCATTATATTTGTTCGTTGGTCCATTCGACTGAAAGTCAAATAGTCGACTTTTCGTTGATATCCCTATTTTTACGATAATTACAGTTAAAACAAAATAGGCTGAACGTGAAAAAATCATCAAACTTCATAATTAGCTTACCTTTCGAATGTACTTCTGAACTCCGCTAACACCGTACGATCGCAGCATAAACCACAGTTTTAACGACCGGAAACGTCTTCCAAGTGGTATCTGCCAATGCTAGAATACCAAAGGCGGAAATTTTATTGTGAATACATTGTAAAAATGTCGTAAATGAAATGTTTCAATTATTAAATCTTATATTGTTACTTTGTTCATAAAGAGCTTTAAAGCCATAAACAATTACAGCTCTATCACTAGTGCTCATACATGTAGCATTACTTGGTTATTTTTAATAATTTTGTACAGTCAGATTTTAGTGTTATCTTTTATAAATGAAAAATATCCTAGTATTTTTGCTGATACACCAACAGATTTCTAAACTAATAAATCAAAGAATTTCTAACAGATAAGATTATGGGAGTTCATTAAACTTAGTCTTATGATATCATGACATGTTGAATTGCTATAAATAGGCTTTTTTGCAATCAGGATTATATATCTAGTTAATTAACGCAGTAAAATAAGTAAAAATGTGCTCACCCTGTAGTCTGGGACTTTTCCTTCATTAGTGTGTCGCAGATATATAGGATCTACATTGAAAGCATCTACCAGATATGAACTATTCTTGATCCTGAATTATAGAAGCATAAAAAATTTTACCTTTAAATATTGTTTTTTTCTAACCTTACGTAATTTATTATACTCCTTTACAAGAAAATATGAAAAAGTCTGTAAAATAACTGTGAAATCGGTAATTTTCGTTGGAGTTTAATTTTAGTTGTTTATGTGGTCTGAAGAGACCCAGAAATTCATATTCTCCACAAAAGTATTAAATTTGAAATATATATCAACATCTCTGTATTTCTTCAACCACTAATTCAAATCCTCACAAACCAATATTTTTCCTCAAACCAAGAAAAATTGACCCTACGAAAATATGTGATATAACGGTATATAATTCATTACTTTTAATTCTAAAAAAACCCCATTTTATTAATTACAGAATGTTGTATTTGTAAATAATTATGTTAAATTATTCTTCAATTGCATTTTGCTTTTGATTAGCTAATTGCCTTTTTTCGGTAACTTACTTTTGCATATTTACATACATGTACATGTAGTTTTATTTTACTATGTAATAGTAGTTTTATGGTAATTAAAGTTACTAAATGAAGAAAAATCATTTACTGAATTAAAAATAAAAAAAACATTTTTAAACATCGCAGAATGTACTGAATCTACAGAACTTAACTAAGTTGTCAAACTTTCATAATCACTACATGTTAAATCTCCTCTCCTACGAAAACAACCATAATTATTGCAAGTACGAAAGATTCATATCAAAATGATAAATACATGTAAAAAGAATACATCAATGTTTAATTTTCTAATATTCTGAAAACTAAATGTAAATGTTAACTAGCCACGAAGGGTTTTAATTGTACGCACTTTATATTAATATCTATAAGCATTTTAACTTACAAATACAAGGACTAAATTTTCACAAAGAAATGTTTGACACGCTATATGCTCAAATTAATTATAGAACACGAATAATTAATTAAAAAAATCGTCTTAGTTTTTTAAATGAAAATAACTTGTGTATGATTTCAGATCCTAAGAGTGATTGGAATTGAATCTTTTGTTGACAGTGTCTCCATTGTAAGGGTAGAACTAGCAGAGTAACTGTTATGATTTTTGTGAACTCGGATTTGCCATCAATCAAATATGAAAACATGAAGCTAAAATCGTGATACAAATTACAAAAAGCACCCAAGAGATTCAAAAGCCCGCAAATTAATTTGCCAGTAAAGGACCTAATAAGGGGGATAAGGAGGGTTAGAAATAAAAGAAACAAAATCTTTACCACATGACGGACAAATCAAAGTTGATAAGCATCCATTTGTGTGGGTTTACACTGAAAGTCTCCGCATACTATAAATAGATTAGAACAAAAATAGATATCCATTTAATACTTTAAAGGTATGGACATATTTACCTTACATATCATGCAAAATTAGAAAAAAAACAGTTTCCCTTTTTATGATATGATATTCTATGTCTTAAACTCATTTAAGAAAAAGGTACTTGAGTTTGAGAATTTTTTTTTCAAAAATGTAATTCTCTCTCTCTCCCTTTCTCATTCTCTCTTAAAAAGGGAATAGTAAATCATATTTTCTGGTACAGAAATACTTGTCAAAACTTAAATGAGTATAATTAAGATTCATACCTTCACAAAAAAAATTCTGTTGTTTATTTTCCCTCTTTAATCGGGTCATTGGTATAGAAAGGCTATAAGTACATGTGTATATTCTAAAGTTCTGATTCTGAATTTTATCATATCATATTAAGGGCCAACTAAAAACTAAATTGTATGACAAACGAGATGGCCTTCAACTCGACATTTAGATATATCGACGACATATTATCAATTAACAATTGTTATTTCCATTCATAAGTCGAACGATATATCCAAGTGAGCTTGAAATAAAAGAAACCCTAGAGCCTGACACATCTGTTTCATATTTAGATATTTTACTAGAAAAAGTCCTTAATTTTAATCTAACAACAAAGCTTTATGACAAAACCTGATGACTAACTTTTCTATCCTCAACTTCCCTCACTTATGCAGCAATATACCTTCATCACCTGCATATGGGGTGTATATCTCTCAGTTGATTCGATACGCAGAGCATGTTCTATGTATGAGCAATTTCTAAAACGAGGTAAGTTATTGACAAACAAGTTGATGAAACAAGAATATCAACTGTCTCGTTTAAAGTCATCATTTCGTAAGTTCTATGGCCGATACAACGACCTTGTTAGCAAATACAATCTATCATTAAGTCTTATGCTGACTGACGGTTTTCATACTAATTGTTAGGCCATTATTTACACTGAATTGTCGACGGATTTTTCCGTTATTTCCCGATCATGACGAGGAGCACAGGGCAGGTGTGACCGGTCGGCAGGGGATGCTCACTCCTCCATGGCACCTGATCCCATCTCTAATGTTTTTGGCGGTCCGTGTTTGCTCTGCTCCCGATTTGTATTGTTTAAATGGACTTTGAGCTTGAATACTTTTCGTTATCTCCATAATTCACTTTTTCATCATCAACTTTCCTTATTTATGTAGTAATATTCCATCGTTACTGCATATTGTATTTAGGTGTCTTAATTTATTCGATACTCATGAACATGCTCTTAGTAGAATGAATTTACAAACCGGAGCAATCTACTGACAGATAAGGTGATGTTACAGAGATTTCAACAATCTCGTTTGAAGTCAACATTTAGTAAACTCTATGGTTGTTATAATGACCTTGTTAACAAATATATCCTACAATTGGATCGTATTTTGGCTGACGTGTTTCCTACCAATTGCTAGGCTTTGTTTTCGTACTAGATGTTACTACGAAATGTTCCGACTACCTGTCTTTTAGTTAAAAGTTGCAATCCTCTATGTTCCAAATGTAGAATAGTAGATTTTATGGAGAAATTTTGTATTAACTTTACTTTTTTATATTCAAAACTGGGAAACTGTACGAAAACAGATCTCTATTTTTTTCCGGATATTTCTAACATTCACCTCCAATGATATTAAATCACCGTTATGTATTATACATATTCTCTTTCGTCTCACTCTTTATTTGACATCAAACATATGTTTGGAATTGAAATTTGTCTATATGCTGTCGTAACAATTTGAATAAATTTGCACATACTAAAAGTACTATTACTTTTACAAATACAGCTTCATGCAAATTCAAATCATTAAATTTAATGCTAGATTAAAACAACAATCAATATAATATATGATATATGAAGACAGAAAAATGTAGCCATTTGTTTTGTCCATTTTATATTGCGCATATCTTTATCATCATAAATTGAAGCAAAACATGTATTATCCTTTTGTTGCTTGAATGATTTTTTTTTTTTAGATAACTGGATGTTATTTTTTATACAAGTGGTCACACCAAGCAGTCAAGCAGGTGGAAAATACGTTCATTGGTGGAAGTAATTAGACAAAACTAAATCTTAAAATAAAAAGTTTTTTCTCAACGTAAATTTGTAATTTTGTTTATAAATTGTCTCCAACTATGTGACATACAATGAATGTACTTTCAATGTTGAAAAAATGAATTTCAATGTAAATCCTTGTCAAAAGAGGAATTCATGACACATAATATACATTAAGTTTACGTGTAATATTTGATAAATTTATTTTAAAAAACAAGAAGAAAGGAATGAAACAGAAGTAACTCCAAGTAATATCATTAAATATAAAACTTTATATAGTAGATTGTCCATATTTCTGTGATGAATTTTTTCATGAATTTAAAACTAAATATAATTTATTTACAAAGTAACTTTAAAAAAAATACATCTATGTACTAAACTATAGAAATTAAATTTCGATTCTATGAATATAATGCTCTGTAATAGCACTAAGGAATATAATATAAAATTATTTTTACTACTTTTTCTTACCTCTATCCCTTTCATGTATTTCCGATATTCCGGACAAACAAAAGCACTTCCGGCATATGCTGCGTCAATGTGCATCCATATATTTTCTTTCTCGCCTGAAGTATAGTATCATTAGTGGAAAAGGTAGGAATATATTATCTCTCTTTCAAAATCAAATATCCTTTTGTAGAAAATCTATTAGATAAAAAAAATGTGAGCAAATTTTAACTGTTAGACTATTTAAAAACTCGCTTATACATTTTTGATCTATTGTGATGAACATTTATTGTTTAACCTCTCATGATTTTTCACGATATGAAAGGAATTCAGGAATATTCTCATTCCCTAAACGTCATAGGAATGCAAGATTATCTCCCAAAAAGTAGGCTTTAATTTCATGGCATAAAATCCGCAATTTTTCTAGTTCCACAAGTTTCCTGAGGCAAAATCACGAGAAAAAGTTTGAATCAGGAGGAACAACTATCTAGCCTATAATAATTATCAGACCCGTAGGAAGCAATTTCAGTTTGGGGGGGGGGGGTGAGAGCCATACATTTTCAGATCAACTACCAAAAATTCCTTGACAAGCAAAAAAAAAGGTCTTCAGACGTTTTCATTGAGGGGCACAAGCTAGTAGTAGCTATATTTTCTATAGTTATCTATATATCGGCAAAATTATTGGGGGGTGGGGGGGTGGGGGCACGCGCCCCCCCCCCCCCCCGGTTCCTACGGCCATGATTATTATCTTTAATTATAAGATTAATATATATGTATATATATAATATATATGTATTTTAATACCAAAGATGAATGCCTGTGGATGAGAAAAACACATTACATTATTTAAAGTCTTTTTCACTCTTATTAGTACATACATATAGGTCCTAACTCTTCGATATTATCAAATGCACATGTTCCAGTTGTTCCGAGTGACGCACAAAGCTGAAAGTGAATTTAAAGTTAGGATTTAAACTGATTAGTTGAGCTCAAGATTTAATTAATTTTAATAATCATAAAAGTCAACATTTTCTTCAAAATATTCTTACGAAAAAGGGAATTAATCCTTGTTTTTTGTCATTTTCAACTGCTTTCCTTAAAGTGTCACCTCGAAGGCTAAAATTCGAATCGCTGTCCAATTTGTGCATTCTAACAGCGCCCAATAAGGCTGATCGATGAACGGAGGAGTTTGCCTTAAGCGAGAAAAAATATATTCTTTTTTTTTTACTCTCCAAACAACTAACGTTCACTGAAGAAACACTTTAGATCTCACCTGATCAGTACAGTAGGCAACGAGTTTAGCAAGTATGTCTTTATCTTCTAAATCAGGGTTCTCTTTCTTTATTTCATCGAGAATTTTATTTCGAGCTGCTAACAAACACAGGAAAACGGTCTCGCTGGCTGTGGACTGTAACGAGAGCACTGAAATAATTACTTTCACCATTTATTTTTTTTAACATTTTTTTGGAGAAGCTCGCCTTTTCAGCTTGATATTTCCAATTTAAAATTATGTCATAATAAAATTAAATTATTTCAAATTCAATGATAAAAATGTAGCAAAGCAACGAAACCTGGATGACACCACCTCCATTGCCTGGACCACAATGTAAGAATTCTTCCGGAAGTGCGAGCATCTTCCCCAACCAGTCCGTGGTAATAACTTCCAGCTCAGTACAGGCAGGACTTGTAGCCTGATCAATCAGAATTCAAATGATGATTTTGTTCATATGTTGTAAATCGTGATGTGGATGATATAATTAGTTGGAAATTGATGACTGAGGGGGAGAAGTTTTTTTTATTAATGAAACATTAACGTTACATATTGTTGCATCTACCTCTCATAAGTTTATATTAAAGATTTTTTAACAATAATAACTTTTTTCTTTACTTTCCATTTATGGAAAAAAGGTCAGGATTAAATAAGCATTTTTTTGTCTTAAAGAAAATGTTTGAAATGGCATTTCCGAAAATTATAGAAGTGATATTACCCATGAAAATCCTATGCAACCAATGGCGTCTGAAAGCATGTCTCCTAAAATTGATGGATAAGTGTTTCCGGCGGCAAAATAACCATGAAAATACGGACTATGCCAGTGAGTTATCTAGAAAAGAAATATATTGAGAAAAAAAATCATATTTATTATGTTGGAGCATGTATGCAAGTTTTCAAAACCCAAATACGTTAAAAGAAGAAAAGTACACGACGCATACATGCATTGATTAACGGGGCATGCTAATCTTGACGGGCTGACAAGAAATTGTCTTGCTAGTAAGCTTGACGATGTTGATCTCGCCAAACAGCATTTTTAGTAAATGTATTTTCTTTACTCTCAAAAAGTTTTAAGTTTAATAGTGAAGTCATCAGGAGCAACATAACTTAAGTTAGACACGATATATCCCTGTGAGCTTGAAATAGAAGATACCACAGAGTCTGACACATCTGTTCCATATTTGGATATTTTACTAGAAAAAGACGTTAATGGTAATCTAACAATCAAGCTTTATGATAAACGTGATGACTTTAACTTTTCAATCGTCAACTTTCCTTACTTATGTAGCAATATACCCTTTTCACCTGCACATTAGGTGTATATCTCTCAGTTGATTCGATACGCAAGAGCATGCTCTACGTATGAACAATTTCTAAAACGAGGTAAGTTATTGACAAACAAGTTGATGAAGCAAGAATATCAACAGCCTCGTTTAAAATCATCATTTCGTAAGTTCTATGGTCGATACAATGACCTTGTCAGCAAATACAATCTATCATTAAGTTATATGCTGACTGAAATTTTTCATACTTATTGTGAGACCATTTTTACGCACTGAATTATCGACGGATTTTCCGTTATTTCCCGATCATGACAAGGAGCACACGGCGGATGTAACCGTTTGACAGGGGATGCTCACTCCTCCATGACACCTGATCCCATCTCTGATGTTTTTGGAGGCCCGTGTTTGCTCTGCTCCCGATTTCTATTGTTTTAATGGACCTTGAGCTTGAATACTGTACGTTTTCTCCATATTTTATAACTAAGAAAACACATATACATGTAATTGTGTGCCAGATATTTTTTCTATCAAAATACCGGTATACACAATGTTACAAACCATTTCATTTTCAAGTTCACTGCTTTGCGCTATTTCAAGAAAAGGGAGCAACTGGATACATGTAGTATTGTATCATACATGCCTATCTTAATTGTGATTGAGATAGAGAGTAATGTATACCCTTTTCCATACCATATCCTGTATCAGCCCAAGACACCAATATCAGCCAGAGGACCGAAGGCTGATAATGATTTAAGGCTGAAACAGGATGTGATTTGGAAAAGGATATGTTTTATTATGTTTATTGCATACATTGTAATAAAATACAGTACACATATGCTTCAAAATACAGATAAATAATTTGACTAACTTATTATATCAAAGAACAGTAATTTGAAATTATAAGAATGTGAATGAAAAAATAGGTGTATTATCACAAGTACTGTTTTTTTAAAGTTTAATCTACAAGGGGTGTTCTATAAATCCATATCCATATCAGCCCTGCAGGATCCGTATCAACCCTTGAAGCTGATACAGCTATTGTCACACAGTCTACATATACAAAAAACCTTCATATATTACTAAGTATTAATAAAAATGTTTATCTGAACAACAACATGTTTATGCTATTGTAAAGTTTTTATATATAAATATGGAGAAAGATCTGGACAATGTCCCGGCATGAAAGACAAGAAAAACTAAAGATAACTATAAATACACTTTGTAATTTAGTTGCCGTTTTCCTAGCCAATCAAAAAATAACATATTCTCACACAAACGATCAGACGTACAGTGTAAAAGAAACGGATGAGAAACATATCGTGTAATATTTTTTCTCAAAGGATAATTTTGATTAAAAAAACCTGTAAATGCGATGACTTAAAAAGCTTGAGAGTACAACTGGGAAATTGTTTTAATCGAGAATTATGATAATGATGATATATTTAAAAGATAAGACGAAAAGTTGCACCATTATTACATCACTACATTTGTATTTACTCGAAGACAAGAAAGCTATCTTCTGTTTCAATTTACCCTTACAGCTTCTTTTCAAAACTATATCATAATATATTTTAATATTATATCGATATTCAAAATCATGTGGTTTATTCATTTTCTTACGATTGGAAATGCAGTTACCTGATTGTCAGATGAACTTAGTTTACTGTGAGTTAAAAACCGGTTCTGATTTCCACACCTTTACTGGGAATCATGTAGACCTTTTTAGTTAAAAAATCGAATATCCTCAATACTCCCCTCCCCCTCCCTTCGTGATTGACAGATGTATTTGACTTGGTGTTATATTGCAATAATGAAGTTTTCAGTTTCAGGAGCTTAAAGGGTTCCTAGGCATCGGAATAATACAAAAAATATAGAAACCATACTAAAATTTTGTTTCTTATTTCTGAATTGGTAAAACTTTCAATTGGATCAAGGAAATCCAGCATTTCTGCAAAAGATTCCTATTGATAACAATGTTAAAACTCTGGAAAGATTATGAAAATTTACGAATGGTGATTTTGGATTGTCAAATTCAGCAATCAATGCAAATGTTAGCAATACTGTCGAATTTAGACTATTTCAAATCTATAAACTCTGGGAGAATTAAAGAGGAAAATCCGATGAATCCCATTTCCCCCCCCCCCCCCCAAATTTCACATTTTTTTTAAACTTCAGATTAAATTGACATTTAAAAATATTTTTAAATTAGTAACAAAAGCATTATGCACAGACAACATGTATAAATGCACCACTTAAACGTGAGATATACAATATGTAATTACGATGATTAATCGGGGGGAAAATAATCCTGACTTTATTAATCAAAATTTTCGAATTATGAACCATAGAAAAGTTGATATTTTTTTCAGAACTGCTCGTAGACAAGAAATGCGTAAATTAAGTGAAATAAAAATGATGCGATATTTTTTTGCCCATATAAGCAGCTAAGTTCGTAGATAGGAAATTTATAGTAAAAAAATATCAGGTTTTATAACTTCCCTGCCACATAATGACGTGAAAGGTTAAACCGACATGGATAATTATCTTATTATATATTGATAACGCATAGAACAACAGTGTTATCAATGATAGAAAATTATCTCAGTGACAACAAGCTATTATTGATACTGAAGGTCAATTAGATAAGAGATGATCACAGCAAAACATTGAACTTCTTAAAAATCACTCAGTGTTGTAAAATTTCCCGTCAAAATTAAGCTTGAAAATAAATCTTAGCATGTTTTTTTTTTTCTAAGGTGAAGAGAAAATATTACAGAAACGTTGTTTTGCGAAACATAACATAAAAAAAAAAAAACAAAACATAAAAATTTTTCTTCGTTGTAAAATGTAATTATTCTTATTATAGTACAGAACATAAACAAGTAATATCTTTTTATCTTGTATTTGTAGAAATTGCTGTATATGTACATGGCCTTAAAAATAAAGCTGTGAACTTTAAGAACAATTAATACATAAAGAAAAAAAATCCATGAAATTAACAACTTAAAGTATGTTTATATATTAAGTAAGTACATGTAAAATAAATAAGTTTAGCCATAAAAAGTTTCATTTTTCATTCAGATTTTCTCAATATGTCTAATAAAGTGATAAAAATTTTGCGTAGATTATAAGGATGATAGCAAAAATGAAGAAATTTGAAGATAATAAAAGAGTCTACTATTTCTTGATATTTTAGGAAGTTGATATATGCATCATATAGAACCAAAATAAGTCCCAAAATATATGCCAATCCATGCATGATTTTTTTTAATTTGTAGCATGTGTCCTTAACAACAGCTAGAATCCGAATCGTCGGACTCACATTTGTAAGAAAAAAGATCTGGAGGGAGGGAAGCTTTTGAATTATTTCCATTTCACTCAAATTATTTTTTATATAATATCTAAGTATAGTTATGCAATAAAGTACTTGAATTTGTATTTTTCTAGACCTTCACAAGACACTTAGAGCCATATCCACTTTTTCGTGAAAGGAGTGGGAGAACTTTTAATCACTTACCCCCGGCATTATAAACTTTTCAATGTCTTTGAACACTTCTTCAAAATCTTCGGGATTCTCTGGAGCCTCGGTTGGAAGCAGCTTCTTTAGGTAACCCGGGGTAACTTTATGTACTACATCACGTTGTCGGATATTTTCTAAGTAATCCGCGATAAAGTCAACCATTTTTCGCCCATATTTACGGAATTCTTCAGCATCCATGCCACCTTTATCAATAATATTTTGTTTCATTTGTTCTGTTGTTCTAGCACGAAATATTTTCAAGAAATAGTATATTTTAATACAATAGAAAATATCTTTACATTATATAGAATGCATAACACATGATAGAACACATGTAATTCTACAAAAGAAATATTTCTTTTTCTCACACAACAAAAATATTGGAAATTTTGACCGTATTTACCTTGCTAGTTGATCGTTACAACTTAAAATGAAAAGCATTTCTTATCTCTATAATGTATACTATTAATATCGTCTACTTGATTAAGATATTGGAACTGGTCATGTTTGGTAGAGTCCAAAAGTTTGTACTAGTACGACCTTTATCTAAATAAAATTAACTTGATAGGTGTTTCAGTTTTGTTTTTATCTCCTCGCGCAAACAAGTTGCAGAGATGATTTGCATGCGTCGTGTTTTATTTTATGTTTAAAATGAATTTCATTTGTGAAGATATTATTTCTAAAGTTCATTTTGTTTTGGAACATTAAATTTATTAGATCTTCCATTCATTCAATCGAATCAAGTTTCCGACGTTAATATATAAGCCAATTTGGTACTGAGATTGTTTATACTTGCGGATTTTGTTTTTGTGTTTAATTGCCATAATAAATAATAGTGAAGATTTTCTTGTGATTTACAAAATTGTTTGGTATAGAACCCGGGATACTGGAACCTGATATCAAGAAATTTTCATGGAAAAGAAGACGTAAACCACCATTCTTGAAAGTACTTGTACAAGGTACAATATTTTACTAACGAAAGAAACGACTCAAAAAAAGAAAGACATTTGCAAAAATTGTCCATTGCTTTAGAATCAACAATAAGTTGACCAGTCTGAAGTTGACTAATTTACCGAAGATATTGAGAAGCTGTTTGAATTGCTCTCTGATGTTACAGAGCATTCTGAAAAAAAAAAACCATTACTACTAGAAAATAGTTTTCGGCTAATGGACATATCATAATTAAGAAACCGAAATAGACCACATGATAGATCTCCAGATAAGGATGCAGGGACTCTTTCATTTCCAAGAATTTCTAATTTCAAAATTTTGAATTTTGAATTTTTCCGGTTTTTGTTTCCCGATCATGACAAGGAGCACACGGCGGGTGTGACCAGTCGGCAGGGGATGCTCACTCCTCCATGGCATCTGATCCCACCTCTAAATTTTGAGGACCGTGTTCGCTATGGTCCAAATCTGTATCGTTTCATTGGACTTTCGAGATTAAATACTGTTCGTTATCTTCATATTTCATTTCAAAGGAAAGACATATTTGTAAAGAGAACAAAACAACAACATTTACTTACTGAAGTTTGAATTACCTTCATTCATATGATAAATTAAAGTGTGGAAAGAATTCTGAGATTCCTTTGGGGCTTCAGTGCACAAAAACTCAAGGCTTTCCAATATCGAGAAACTCAGCTTCTTCAAAAGTGAACAGTGGAAGTATTAACAAAATCTGCTACTTCGAATTCTGACCTTCTGCTTATGATGTTGCTATGAAATTATTAGCAGACCTTTTTTGTATTCATATGAAGCAGAATTTGTCCAAAATCTTATACGTGAAAAGAAGAAAACACTTGTTGTGGCCTTCAACTCGACATTTAGATATATCGACGAAGTATTATCAATTAACAATAGTTACTAGTATTTCCATTCATATGTCGACACGATATAAATTATCCTAGTGAGCTTGAATTAAAAGATACCACAGAGTCTGACACATCTGTTTCATATTTGGATATTTTACTTGAAAAAGACGTTAATGGTAATCTAACAACCAAGCTTTATGATAAACGTGATGACTTTAACTTTTCAATCGTCAACTTCCCTTACTTATGCAGCAATATACCTTCATCACCTGCATACGGGGTTTATATCTCTCAGTTGATTCGATACGCAAGAGCATGCTCTACGTATGTACAATTTCTAAAACGAGGTAAATTATTGACAAACAAGTTGATGAAACAAAAATATCAGTAGTCTCATTTAAAGTCATCATTTCGTAAGTTCTATGGTCGATACAATGACCTTGTCAGCAAATACAATTTATCATCGAGTCAAACGCTGACTGAAATTTTTATGCCTCCGGATCGAAAGCTCCCGGGGGTATATTGGTTTTGTCCTGTCTGTCTGTTTGTCTGTTGTCCACTTTAACCTTGCCCATAACTTTTGATTGGTTGGAGCTATGACTTTCATATTCCACATGTGTAATCCTTGTGACAAAACCTTTCTTTGGGTACCATCATATTTGACCTTTTAACCTTGACCTTGGAGTTTGACCCACTTTTGCAAAAATTTTATGAGACTTTAACCTTGGCAATAACTTCCGAACAGTTGGTGCTTGGGGTTTCAAACTTCACATGTGTATTCTTTGTGACAAGGCCTTTCTTTGGATACCAACAACTTTGACCTTGACCTACTTTTGAAAAAATTTAACCTTCGCCATACTTTTTGAACAGTTGGTGCTTGGGTTTTCAAACTTCACATGTGTATTTCTTGTGACAAGACCTTCCTCTGGATATCAACCTCTCTAACCTTGACCTAGGAGTTTGACCCACTTTTGAAAAACTTTAATTTTGGACATAACTTTTAAATGGTTGATGCTAGGGCTTTCATACTTCACATATGTAAACCTTGTGACATCACCTTCCTTTGGATACAAACCACTTTGACCCTTTGACCTTGACATAGGAGTTTGACCTACTTTTGAAAAACTTTAACCTTGGCCATAACTTTAATTTGAATGGTTGGTGCTAGGGCTTTCATACTTCACATATGTAAACCTTGTGACATCACCTTCCTTTGGATACAAACCACTTTGACCCTTTGACCTTGACATAGGAGTTTGACCTACTTTTGAAAAACTTTAACCTTGGCCATAACTTTAATTTGAATGGTTGGTGCTAGGGCTTTCATACTTCACATATGGAATCCTTGTGACAAGACCTTCCTTTGGATACCAACAACTTTGACCTTAACGTTTTACTTACTTTTGAAAAAATTTAACCTTCGCCATAATTTTTGAACAGTTGCAGCTAGGGCTTTCAAATTTCACAGATATGTTCCTCGAGTCAAGACCTTTCTTTGGGTACCAACATTTTTTTATGTTTTGGCCTGGATTTTGACTTGCATTTGAGAAACTTTAACCTTCGCCATAAGCTGCCATACGGGGGCATCAGTGTTTCACAAACATATCTTGTTCATACTAATTGTTAGGCCATTATTTAAACACTGAATTGTCAACGGATTTTTCGTTAATTCCCTATCATGTCAAGGAGCACACGGCGGGTGTGACCGGTCGGCAGGGGATGTTCACTCCTCCATGGCACCTGATCCCACCTCTGATGTTTTAAAGGTCCGTGTTTGCTCTGCTCCTGTTTTGTAATGTTTGATGGCCTTTTGAGCTTGAATACTGTTCGTTATCGCCATATATTTCATTCATAGAAAACAATAATCAAGCTCAAAAGTCCATTATAACAATACAAATTTTGGGCAGAGAAAACACTGATCTCTAAAAAAAAAAATTAGAAGTGGAACCAAGTGCTATGTAGGAGTAAGCATCCCCCGTCAACAGGTTACACCTGCCGTGTGCACCTTTTCATAATCAGACAAATGGAAAAATCAGTCTGTATAATGGCTCTCATGTCCACACTCCAAGGCAAGACTTAAAAGTTATATGCAAACTTTCCATAAACTCCACATGTTTTGCTGATCCCTACACAGTGCATTCAGTAATTTAAATAGAAGATGATGTTACTAGGGCCTTGTAATAACTTTACACTTCCATATCTCAATAAAGAAAATTTTCAACTTTGGTAAAAAGAAATTTTCAATGTCATTAAAAAAATTCAACACTGACTTCTGTAACATTTTTATTAATAGTGAAAATGCCCTCATCAAAACTGTAGATTCTTTTTATGTAAGAATTCTAGAAGAGTACAAGAAATATAACAGTATTTCATGCAATACACAGTGGTCCTATTCATCAAGACAACCATTAACTTGCTGTCCTCCACCATTTTCCACCAGGTCCATATTTCTGGCTGCCTCTGTAGCGGCACACGCCTCCATTTCTTCTGCCTCCAGCTCCAGAGCCGTCTGCTCCTCATCGTACTTCTGCATCAGTGCTGCTATCAGACGACATTTTCCAGCACCACAGTCACAAGGGATAGGATGACCTGTTGGGAAAAAATTGGCGATAAGATGAAATGATAATAAAGTTTTTCTGACAATATCAATAGCAAAAAAAAAAAAAAAAGAAAAAAAAAAAAAAAAAAAAGAAAAAAAAGACTTTTTGGGTTGGGGTTTCTCTATAATATATACAAAATTACATGTATATCAGAAATATATAAAAATCATGATTATTTTTTCAAATTATTTCACTAAAATTATGTATAAGCACAGGAGCAGGAATTTCCAAAAAAAAGTTTAATTTTGTGAAATCACTGGAATCTTCAATCCAGTGCTGTTCACTGGTTTTTATATGAATAAGTATTTTTAATCTGTAACCATGGTAAAAGTATATCTTTTAATCTGACTGGGTCACCTGATACATCCTCCTCCTCCTCTTCCTCTGAGTCCGATTCCTCAGTTCCTGAATGGTCATCAATCATCTCTATGGAGATATTGTAAAGTCGAGGATTGGTTGTATCTTGTGACAACTCCAGTTTACAAGAAAGACAGTCTTCTTCATCAACAGCTGCTGACACTGGAATGAAGACAACTGTCTGCTTCCAGTGGGTGACCTCTACCATTGGAGAGGTTGACAAGGTCACCAGGTGAACTCTGGAAATGTCTTTACCTGGTGAACTTGAAGGTATTGATACTGTTGGAGCACCAAAATAAACATCAAACCATGCTGCAAAAGCATGTACAAGTCCAGACTTGGTCATTTTGAATGTAAAAGTATTCTGAACAGTTTTTAAAGTCTTCTACTTTGGTAGTCAGTAAATCAAATTCTTTCACAATTTCTGGATCTGACATACATTGCTTTGGATCTATATATTCAATAACTGGTTGCTGAAGGGTTGATGTCATTGAAACAGTTTGTAAAGGAGAAAAGTCATATCCATACACATTCTCCCAAAATCTGAAGTTTTCTGTGACATACTTGGACATGTTGACGGGTGTTAAGTACAAAGTGGCATGAGATGGGATCATTATGCCTGTCTCAGACAGCCACTTGTCTCGAGCAAATATCACTGAGTCCAGCATAGACTCATGAAGCAAATAAAAACCCATCCACTCCGAAACAATGATATCCACCTTTTTCACTATTTTTAAATGTCAATTTAATCTGAAGTTTAAAAAAAATGTGAAATTTGGGGGAGAATCGGATTCATCGGATTTTCCTCTTTAATTCTCCCAGAGTTTATAGATTTGAAATAGTCTAAATTCGACAGTATTGCTAACATTTGCATTGATTGCTGAATTTGACAATCCAAATCACCACTCTTAAATCTTCATAATCTTTCCAGAATTTTAACATTGTTATCAATAGGAATCTTTTGCAGAAATGCTGGATTTCCTTGATCCAATTGAAAGTTTTACCAATTCAGAAATAAGAAACAAAATTTTAGTATGGTTTCTATATTTTTTGTATTATTCCGATGCCTAGGAACCCTTTAAGCTCCTGAAACTGAAAACTTCATTATTGCAATATAACACCAAGTCAAATACATCTGTCAATCACGAAGGGAGGGGGAGGGGAGTATTGAGGATATTCGATTTTTTAACTAAAAAGGTCTACATGATTCCCAGTAAAGGTGTGGAAATCAGAACCGGTTTTTAACTCACAGTAAACTAAGTTCATCTGATAATCAGGTAACTGCATTTCCAATCGTAAGAAAATGAATAAACCACATGATTTTGAATATCGATATAATATTAAAATATATCATGATATAGTTTTGAAAAGAAGCTGTAAGTTTAAAATGATAATATATACTTATTAGGGTAAATTGAAACAGAAGATAGCTTTCTTGTCTTCGAGTAAATACAAATGTAGTGATGTAATAATGGTGCAACTTTTCGTCTTATTTTTTAAATATATCATCATTATCATAATTCTCGATTAAAACAATTTCCCGATCATGACAAGGAGCACACGGCGGGTGTGACCAGTCGGCAGGGGATGCTCACTCCTCCATGGCATCTGATCCCACCTCTAAATTTTGAGGACCGTGTTCGCTATGGTCCAAATCTGTATCGTTTCATTGGACTTTCGAGATTAAATACTGTTCGTTATCTTCATATTTCATTTCAAAGGAAAGACATATTTGTAAAGAGAACAAAACAACAACATTTACTTACTGAAGTTTGAATTACCTTCATTCATATGATAAATTAAAGTGTGGAAAGAATTCTGAGATTCCTTTGGGGCTTCAGTGCACAAAAACTCAAGGCTTTCCAATATCGAGAAACTCAGCTTCTTCAAAAGTGAACAGTGGAAGTATTAACAAAATCTGCTACTTCGAATTCTGACCTTCTGCTTATGATGTTGCTATGAAATTATTAGCAGACCTTTTTTGTATTCATATGAAGCAGAATTTGTCCAAAATCTTATACGTGAAAAGAAGAAAACACTTGTTGTGGCCTTCAACTCGACATTTAGATATATCGACGAAGTATTATCAATTAACAATAGTTACTAGTATTTCCATTCATATGTCGACACGATATAAATTATCCTAGTGAGCTTGAATTAAAAGATACCACAGAGTCTGACACATCTGTTTCATATTTGGATATTTCACTTGAAAAAGACGTTAATGGTAATCTAACAACCAAGCTTTATGATAAACGTGATGACTTTAACTTTTCAATCGTCAACTTCCCTTACTTATGCAGCAATATACCTTCATCACCTGCATACGGGGTTTATATCTCTCAGTTGATTCGATACGCAAGAGCATGCTCTACGTATGTACAATTTCTAAAACGAGGTAAATTATTGACAAACAAGTTGATGAAACAAAAATATCAGTAGTCTCGTTTAAAGTCATCATTTCGTAAGTTCTATGGTCGATACAATGACCTTGTCAGCAAATACAATTTATCATCGAGTCAAATGCTGACTGAAATTTTTATGCCTCCGGATCGAAAGCTCCCGGGGGTATATTGGTTTTGTCCTGTCTGTCTGTTTGTCTGTTGTCCACTTTAACCTTGCCCATAACTTTTGATTGGTTGGAGCTATGACTTTCATATTCCACATGTGTAATCCTTGTGACAAAACCTTTCTTTGGGTACCATCATATTTGACCTTTTAACCTTGACCTTGGAGTTTGACCCACTTTTGCAAAAATTTTATGAGACTTTAACCTTGGCAATAACTTCTGAACAGTTGGTGCTTGGGGTTTCAAACTTCACATGTGTATTCTTTGTGACAAGGCCTTTCTTTGGATACCAACAACTTTGACCTTGACCTACTTTTGAAAAAATTTAACCTTCGCCATACTTTTTGAACAGTTGGTGCTTGGGTTTTCAAACTTCACATGTGTATTCCTTGTGACAAGACCTTCCTCTGGATATCAACCTCTCTAACCTTGACCTAGGAGTTTGACCCACTTTTGAAAAACTTTAATTTTGGACATAACTTTTAAATGGTTGATGCTAGGGCTTTCATACTTCACATATGTAAACCTTGTGACATCACCTTCCTTTGGATACAAACCACTTTGACCCTTTGACCTTGACATAGGAGTTTGACCTACTTTTGAAAAACTTTAACCTTGGCCATAACTTTAATTTGAATGGTTGGTGCTAGGGCTTTCATACTTCACATATGTAAACCTTGTGACATCACCTTCCTTTGGATACAAACCACTTTGACCCTTTGACCTTGACATAGGAGTTTGACCTACTTTTGAAAAACTTTAACCTTGGCCATAACTTTAATTTGAATGGTTGGTGCTAGGGCTTTCATACTTCACATATGGAATCCTTGTGACAAGACCTTCCTTTGGATACCAACAACTTTGACCTTAACGTTTTACTTACTTTTGAAAAAATTTAACCTTCGCCATAATTTTTGAACAGTTGCAGCTAGGGCTTTCAAATTTCACAGATATGTTCCTCGAGTCAAGACCTTTCTTTGGGTACCAACATTTTTTTATGTTTTGGCCTGGATTTTGACTTGCATTTGAGAAACTTTAACCTTCGCCATAAGCTGCCATACGGGGGCATCAGTGTTTCACAAACATACCTTGTTCATACTAATTGTTAGGCCATTATTTAAACACTGAATTGTCAACGGATTTTTCGTTAATTCCCTATCACGTCAAGGAGCACACGGCGGGTGTGACCGGTCGGCAGGGGATGTTCACTCCTCCATGGCACCTGATCCCACCTCTGATGTTTTAAAGGTCCGTGTTTGCTCTGCTCCTGTTTTGTAATGTTTGATGGCCTTTTGAGCTTGAATACTGTTCGTTATCGCCATATATTTCATTCATAGAAAACAATAATCAAGCTCAAAAGTCCATTATAACAATACAAATTTTGGGCAGAGAAAACACTGATCTCTAAAAAAAAAAATTAGAAGTGGAACCAAGTGCTATGTAGGAGTAAGCATCCCCCGTCAACAGGTTACACCTGCCGTGTGCACCTTTTCATAATCAGACAAATGGAAAAATCAGTCTGTATAATGGCTCTCATGTCCACACTCCAAGGCAAGACTTAAAAGTTATATGCAAACTTTCCATAAACTCCACATGTTTTGCTGATCCCTACACAGTGCATTCAGTAATTTAAATAGAAGATGATGTTACTAGGGCCTTGTAATAACTTTACACTTCCATATCTCAATAAAGAAAATTTTCAACTTTGGTAAAAAGAAATTTTCAATGTCATTAAAAAAATTCAACACTGACTTCTGTAACATTTTTATTAATAGTGAAAATGCCCTCATCAAAACTGTAGATTCTTTTTATGTAAGAATTCTAGAAGAGTACAAGAAATATAACAGTATTTCATGCAATACACAGTGGTCCTATTCATCAAGACAACCATTAACTTGCTGTCCTCCACCATTTTCCACCAGGTCCATATTTCTGGCTGCCTCTGTAGCGGCACACGCCTCCATTTCTTCTGCCTCCAGCTCCAGAGCCGTCTGCTCCTCATCGTACTTCTGCATCAGTGCTGCTATCAGACGACATTTTCCAGCACCACAGTCACAAGGGATAGGATGGCCTGTTGGGAAGAAATTGGCGATAAGATGAAATGATAATAAAGTTTTTCTGACAATATCAATAGCAAAAAAAAAAAAAAAAAAAAAAAAAAAAAAAAGAAAAAAAAGACTTTTTGGGTTGGGGTTTCTCTATAATATATACAAAATTACATGTATATCAGAAATATATAAAAATCATGATTATTTTTTCAAATTATTTCACTAAAATTATGTATAAGCACAGGAGCAGGAATTTCCAAAAAAAAGTTTAATTTTGTGAAATCACTGGAATCTTCAATCCAGTGCTGTTCACTGGTTTTTATATGAATAAGTATTTTTAATCTGTAACCATGGTAAAAGTATATCTTTTAATCTGACTGGGTCACCTGATACATCCTCCTCCTCCTCTTCCTCTGAGTCCGATTCCTCAGTTCCTGAATGGTCATCAATCATCTCTATGGAGATATTGTAAAGTCGAGGATTGGTTGTATCTTGTGACAACTCCAGTTTACAAGAAAGACAGTCTTCTTCATCAACAGCTGCTGACACTGGAATGAAGACAACTGTCTGCTTCCAGTGGGTGACCTCTACCATTGGAGAGGTTGACAAGGTCACCAGGTGAACTCTGGAAATGTCTTTACCTGGTGAACTTGAAGGTATTGATACTGTTGGAGCACCAAAATAAACATCAAACCATGCTGCAAAAGCATGTACAAGTCCAGACTTGGTCATTTTGAATGTAAAAGTATTCTGAACAGTTTTTAAGTCTTCTACTTTGGTAGTCAGTAAATCAAATTCTTTCACAATTTCTGGATCTGACATACATTGCTTTGGATCTATATATTCAATAACTGGTTGCTGAAGGGTTGATGTCATTGAAACAGTTTGTAAAGGAGAAAAGTCATATCCATACACATTCTCCCAAAATCTGAAGTTTTCTGTGACATACTTGGACATGTTGACGGGTGTTAAGTACAAAGTGGCATGAGATGGGATCATTATGCCTGTCTCAGACAGCCACTTGTCTCGAGCAAATATCACTGAGTCCAGCATAGACTCATGAAGCAAATAAAAACCCATCCACTCCGAAACAATGATATCCACCTTTTTCACTGGAAGTTCCACCTCTTCTATCCTCCCTTTAATGACTTTAATTCTGTCCTCCATTTTGTTGCACTTGATTATCTGGCTACATAGATCAGCCATGTTGCTGGCTTCAATGGCGTATACCACAGAAGCACCAGCTGAGGCGGAAAACAATGACAAAATGCCAGAACCTGCACCAACATCCAAGACAACTTTATCGCGAAATAGGAACTGGTTCTTTTCAATGAATTCTTTGAAGGCTAAAGTTCGAGGCTTGTCTTTCAGCATGAGGGTGTGGACTGATAGGTCACTGTAACTTTTAAAATAATCTGAACCATCTTCAGCTGCCATTTTAACCTTCTGAAAATTAGTAATTAGAGAAAAATATTAATCACAGTTATATATTAACATATGCCATATTTTCCTCATACAAACTTTTATGCAGTTTTGATATTCATTTCATCTATAAGTAACAATGTCAAATTAAGGCTAACAATTTTATATGTCATTATAACAACAGTGTTATGAGACAACAAAATCTGAAGATGACTAATTTCTTCTAATTCAAGTAAAATATTTCAATTTTAATTCAATAAATTTTTTTAAAGCATTCTATAAATTTTTGTAGGTAAAAAAAACCCCCAGAAGTCTCTGATGAGACTGTAGCTCTACTGGTCTGTACATATAACAAAGTAGCACTTGGATTTGCAACATGCATTAATAAATAGAATTATGTATCTTAATGTAGTCTACTTCTGTGCCAAGTTATATTGAAATCAAACGAAAACTGTAGGAGGAGTAGCATTTTGAAAGTATTTCACAGAAATTTCTATTTTTAGTAACCACATCAAAAACTGAAATGCATATTATGTATCATAGTGTATTCTAATTGTGTGCCAAATTAGATTGAAATCAGACCAAAACAGTAGGAGGAGTAACGTTTTAAAGGGATTTCACAGAAATTTCTTTTTTTAGTAACCATGGCAACACCGTTCATCGAAATCAAAAACTGATGCACTAAATTATGTATCTTAGTGTGTGTAGTCTACTTGTATGCCAAGTTATATTAAAATCAGACCAAAACTGTAGAAGGAGAAGTGTTTTTAAGGAATTTCACAGAAATTTCTATTTTTAGTAACCATGGCAACACTATTCATCGAAATCAAAAACCGATGCACTAAATTATGTATCAAAGTGAATTACACTTGTTTGCCAAGTTATATTCTAATCAGACCAAAACTGTAGGAGGAGTAGCGTTTTAAAGGAATTTCACAGAAATTTCTATTTTTATTAACCATGGCAACACCGTTCATCGAAATCAAAAACCGATGCACTAAATTAAGTATCTTAGTGTAGGTTACTTGTGTGCCAAGTTATATTGAAATCAGACCAAAACTGTAGGAGGAGTAGCGTTTTAGAGGAATTTCACAGAAATTTCTATTTTTAGTAACCATGGCAACACAGTTCATTGAAATCAAAAAACGATGCACTAAATTATGTATCTTAGTGTAGTCTACTTGTGTGCCAAGTTATACTGTAATCATACCAAAACTGTAGGAGAAGTAGCGTTTTAAAGGAATTTCACAGAAATTTCTATTTTTAGTAACCATGGCAACACCGTTCATCGAAATCAAAAATCGATGCACTGAATTGTGTATCTAAGTATAGTCTACTCGTGTGCCAAGTTATAATGAAATCAGAATAAAATTGTAGGAGGAGTAGCGTTTTAAATGAATGTCACAGAAATTTCTATTTTTAGTAACCATGGCAACACTGTTCATCGAAATCAAAAACTGATGCACTAAATTATGTATCTTAGTGTAGTCTACTTGTGTGCCAAGTTATATTGAAATCAGACCAAAACTGTAGGAGGAGTAGCATTTTGAAAAATTGTTTACAGAAAGACGGACAGACAGACAGCTAGACGGACAGACATACAGACGGATGGATGACGGACACCTTACTATCGCATAAGCTCTTCTGGTCTCTGACCAGTAGAGCTAAAAATTAACCTAATGACCCTAGGCCTAGTCTTGTAGACCCCTATACTTCATGTACTTCAAGTAAAAATTTTTTTTTCTCAAATAACGTGTAACTTTTCTTGTTAACTGATGAATATTACATTTAATTTAGCTCAATTCTGAAATACACAATAAATTAATTCTATTTTATTATTTCTGATAAATAGTAAATTAATTCATTCTTCAAAAACATTTTCACTGCATATTTCCTTAAATGATTAATGAAGAGATAATAACTTTGCCATAAACTCAACTTGAGACAAAAATTTCAGTGAAATTTGACACAGTGAGCTGATGTATGTTAATATACATATATCACATGGCTTCGAGGGTGACATACCAGAATGTTTGCCCCAAGGTGACAGGAAAGTCCTGGAGTGTTATGTCACCCGATGCCAAAGGCAGAGGGTGACATAACACTCCAGGACTTTCCTGTCAGCGAGGGGCAAACATTCTGGTATAGTCACCCGAGAAGTCATGTGGTATATGTTATATAACATTTTTAAATTAAAAAATAGTCTAGAACTGTTTAAGTTTAGACAAATAATCTAAAAATTCTTTCATGACGCTTAGAATTGCACTCCATTGTTTGTGTTTGCTTAGCAACCGATGTCATTAAATCTCGAACCCGAGCTGCAAATGCATTACATAAAGACACGTGAAAGTGATCGAGAGGGTGTTATAACTGTTTCCGTCGGGTGATATAACTGTTTCCGGCATGTGACATAACTGTTTCCGGTGATTCAGCATTCTTCAGGGTTTATAGTGAAACTTATTACATTTGTGATATAATAGGAAAACTTATTCAAAAATGTTATATACAATTTTGAATGCACTCCTTGGAACTGTGTTAGATATGTTGTAAGTGAATAATGATAGTTTAGTAACAATTTAATGAATAATTTGTAAAATTAACAATTTTCAACAAAAATTTGTAAAATTAACAATATTCTGTTAATAATGAAAATTTTTAACATTTATATAGCTACATGTGTACATGTATAGTATATCGTTTCCATAGCCTTAAAATAAAATAAAATGCATAATGTCCAAAAATAGAAATTCTAACCTCCCTGCACTGGGCCTCAGGGGAAGATATCATATTTGGAATGGATCATATTCTATCAGTTGTTAAAATTACAAAGCTCTGCTTTTATTCATTCTAATTTTATATATCCCCAGATCCACAATGAACATAAGGGTTTCATGAAAGCATTTTTCCAGATTTCAATACCCTTCAACATAGGTTCAAACGTTGGCTGGTATATGTCTATTTTATGAAGTCTTTTGCACATACTTCTTGGCAGGTGACCCCTGCGCTATGACCTTTGACACTGTAGGATCAATCCCAATGCTCATTCTGTAGCACATTAAATATACCTTTTCTTGATGCAATGGTTTGTTTTATTTATATATTTTTTTTCTATACACAATATACAATCAAATTATCCACATAATAATTATAAAGTGTCAATCACAACAGAGTTACTATAAATCATAAATTTTACATGTTTCAAGGTCAAAGGTCAAAACTGATGACAGAATTTGAAACATCTCACTTTGCTTAACCTCTGTGTGAATTTAGAACATCATAATCTGAATAGGTCACAAATAATATAGCTTAATACAGTAGCTAAACAAAGAGTGGGTTCAAGGATATGTACCAATTTCAGTGCAATTGCAGTTGCAATACGTTCTATTTCCACTATGGAAGAGTTATACTTCTTAGTGCGCTCTTTTGCGAAAAAGTCGGAAAATGTACAAATCTCACGGGATTTCAGGGACAAACGTAACGTAAACATGTAAACAATATGTTGAATGTCAATGAACAAATCCTAAGAAAATGCAAATGAAATATTTTATTGTTGTGGACTTTATATACATCAAGAGTAGGAATGACAACGATATCAATTTATATCTATTGTTGATCGTATGTATCTATTTAGCGTATGGTACATCTAAATACAATACACATGCCTCGGAAATGTCGTATTTTTCATTAATGGATGATAAATTTAAGGTTCTCGCTCTCTTACATATGTCTTTAAGTTCTTCTATTCTTTAATTGGAATAACAAATACATTTGACATTAAAAATTGGATTGAGATTGGCATGTTTTGTATTATCCGCAACCCCATGCTGTCCCTGTCAGATGACCAAACGCGCCTCTAATTTTGAAGAGTTCACTAATGGAAATAAAACGTATTCAGCCATTAATCTCCTCTCTAATTGTGTGACATTGCCTTTGACAAACCTGACCAACACATTTCCTGCTTGAAAGTGAATTAACTATCATGCATGTTTGTCATCTGTGAAAAATATTAACTATGCTTATTTCAGATCAGCATGATCAGCTTACCTTCACAATTTAGAACACTTGCACATGTACTGGCATTTGCTTCATCAAACCATGTAGACTGCACCAAAAGAAAAGAAAAGAATACATATATATATATATATATATATATATATATATATATATATATATATATATATATATATATATATATACATACAAGTTGTGTTCTTTCTGCAGTCTTTAGCAAGATGTTAGAAAATTAACACACAAATAGATGAATCCACACTTTTCAAAAGTTATGTCCCTTGGCCCTCATCTGTGGGAAAAAAACCACAGCATTCTCACACTGGCCTTCATAATTTCAGGTTTGTAACCTTTTTATTAGACCTAGAAAACCATTGATCCTGTTTGCAAGGCCAGTAAAAATTTGTCAGGAATGATAACTTTCAAGAAAATGTCTGTCCAAATGACCCTTTGAAAAAACCCAGCATGAGGCAATTTTTAAAAAATCAGGATTTGGGTCAGAGCTCTCAATTGTCTATAATTATGCTATTCAAGGGCACCATTTCAAAATTCCCAATTTCCCAATTCAAAAAATGTACCTCTTTTCCTAATTGAAGGTGTTAATTTTCCCAATAGTCATCCCTCCCAAAAATTAAAGATAATATAGTTGGATATATAATAACTAAACTTACCATTAAGGAGGCTGGGGGGTCAACAAATTAACCATCAGATATAACTTTTTTTTTAGATATGATATCTTAAGCTGTCAACTATCATTTGGCAAAGAAAAAATTCATACATTTTAGTTTTAAAATTTGATCATTTTTATAATCTTTATATGGAGCTCTTCTTCTAAAGGAGATCAATATAGTCTAAAAATGGCCACGACCACCCAGCCCTCTTAATATTTCTTTGTATTGCAAAACAAAAATTTAGTTGATAGCAAAGAGCAGAAACCCAATATACATGTATACATGTAATAAAATGTCGCTATTTTCCCAATCTCAACAACCCTGGCCTATTCCCAAGACGTGGTGTGAGACCCTTGAGAAAAGAAACCTGTGAGATCAAAGGCTGTTGAAAATAATAAAGGGCATTTTGGTGCAGTTATTTATTTTTCTTTCTCAGCATCAAAATAAGGTACACATATCTGGTGTGACAAAACTTCGTCTAGTCCCACAGAACATTTAATTTGACTTTGTTAGACCAAATTTTTAACAGTGAATTCAAAATTTCAACACCTCAGTAATTGTTGGATCTTGTAATTTGATTGCCCCAGGATGGGGCTACCCATAAATGGAAAGAAAAAAATCTTAATACAGTGAATTTATCCCAGTATGCCAGAATGTTTGCTAGTGTAAAGAAGAGAAACCATGCTCTTTTCCCTATCGACCTTTTGGTTGACTCCACAAAGGGAACAACTTTTGCAAAGTGTGGATTGAACTTGTGGATTTAGGGTGCTAGGACTATCAGGAATCCCGGGATTTCGGGAGAATCCCGCTACAGGAAGAAGAATCCCCCACAAAAAGGTAGAATCCCCCTTAAAATGAATTAGTTGGGATACATAAAGGGTTTAGGTGGTGACTACTTGAATGATATTGTTATCCGTACATTTTTATAGCCAATTTTACCTGAGAATCGACAAAAATCGGACGCCATTACTAGTTGTAGTGGTATACCGTATACCACGCCCGATATAAAATCGCGATCGGTTCGTCATTATATAGATCAAAACAAAACGGTATGTTTAAATGTTCGGAATATTATCAATATTTTTACAATGATATGAATCAATTATTATGTGATAAGTATTTAACCAAAAAAATTTGTAAGGACGTTAGCCATTAAGAAAATATGAATATGTGTATTAATTATTCATATTATCCCAATGTTACCAGCTCTAGCCACGTGGAGGCCTCCTTTTTTGTAGAGCCATATTTTAAGAAATTTAGAATTCAGAGATATAAAAATATGAAAGCCAAAAGGTTCAAAACATATGAATAAAATTTTAAAAAATAAATAAAAACTAAATAAATTAACAATAATTGTACATATATTACAAAGAGAACATAACACAAAAGAAATTAAAATAATTTTAAAATTTGAAAATACTGAAACCAGAGGAAGAAATAGTTAATTAAAAATTTATCAACAATTTCAAATATTGAGAAATTTTAACTCAGATTTTGAAACATTCTACATAAAATTATTTTTTTTTTAATTTTGAAGAAGAAAACACACACACACAGAAATAATAAGAAAAAAATTAAATTGATTGAATTTTAACTGAAACCGGAGGAATGTTTTGAAAGAAATAATGAATTAGAAATGTATGAAGTTTTTCAAATATTTAGCAATTTTAAAACAGACTGTTAACCATTCTATATTTTCTTTATATTTTTTAATTTAAAAAAGAAAACACACACACACACACACAAATAATAATAAAAAATTAAATTCATTGAACTTTAAATGGCACCAGAAGAATGTTTTTAAGAAAAAAAGAATTAGAAATGTATGAAGTTTTTCAAATATTTAGCAATTTTAAATCAGACTGTAAACCATTCTCTATTTTCTTTTAATTCAACAAAGGAAAAACAACACACACACACACACAAATAAAAACACAAGATTTTGTTGAATTTAACTGGGGAGAGAAGTCTCATTCTAGACTGGATGAAAGTGAAGACTTTCTGTCTCCAAACATAAGTATTATATGTTCTTCCATGATAATTGAAACCTTGAAATAAATTAAAAAAATTATATTTTTTTACATTTCAATGCTAACTGAATTTGTCGAATAAAAATTTCCATTGCCTCTCTGTTCAAAGTAATCCCATCATCAAGCCAAATGTTTTTTTTTGAATTCATTAAACCCCTACATCTCCAAAATATCACAGTTTGAGAATTAGCATATTTTCTCCGAAGGGCGTTATTTATGTCAAAAACTATCGAATTGTACTTTCCTGGATCCATGGTGCCACAAATCATTTGCCTAAATAGACTCCCAATATATATTTTCTGAACTGACTCATTTCTTAACAATTTTTCAATAATTTTTTGTATTCCTAACACTATTTCTGATACAGAAAAAAAATTTATGTCATTCTCTCCTACTTGTAAAAACACCTTTGTTGGACAAAATTCAACTGCGCTTCCAAAGGATTGACTAAAAATCATTGATTCTGTTGTTGTATCTCTCTCACTAAAAATCTGGACTGAATAATTACTGGGCAACAAAAAAGTCACACAACCGTTTGTTAAACTATTCCCTAATTCTGACACATGATTTTGACCAATAATTGCAATTCGTTCTGGAGAAGTGACTGCGGGAGTTGCTGAAGGAGATATTGTCGGGCCGGGTATGGGTGCAGGTAGATTTGTAGGGGAAGTAAGTGAGGGAGTTGCTGAAGGAGATTGTGCTGATGGAGATTGGGTAGGGATGGTTGCAGGAAGAATTGTAGGGGAAGAATCTGAGGAAGTTGCTAAAGGAGATTGTGTAGGTACACGTGCAGGAAGAGTTGTAGGGGAAGTAACTGAGAGAGTTGGTGTAGGAGATTGGATAAGGATGGGTGGTGGAAGAACTGTAGGGGAAATGATTGAGGGAGTTGTTGAAGGATATTGGGTAGGGGCGGGTGCTGGTAGGGTTGTAGGGGAACTTACTGAGGGAGCACTGACTGCAATGGCCATTTTTTGCCTAAACTGCATTAAAAGTTTACCTTGGATATTTTTCCCTTTGCCATTGCAACCAGTGCCCCAGTACGAGTCCGCAACATTGTGTATCAGTAACCTTTTTTTTGTGCTGAGCAGGTAATTTTTAAACTCAGCACATTGGTTAAATTTTATTGCCAAAACTTTGAGCATAATTTTGTTTTTGATTGAATGCCAATGGGAACCGGTATTGATAAGTTTTGAAATTTTTTTACTTATTTTTGCTGTCGGAGCGTTGTGAATTTGGTTTGCCAAATAGGGGTCAGAGTGCTCGACAGCTTTTAGGTACTGATACAAATGTTCTGAACTCTGAAATGTAAGCCCCTGGAAAGTTAAAACACAGGGGTAGAAATTGGAAAGAATATGGTGCTCTCCCTTGAAATAGATAGGAGAGGTGGGAGATGGAGTTGGAACAGGAGCAGAGCCAGGAGATGGATTTGCAACAGGAGCGGAGGCAGGAGAAGGAGGTGGGACAGATGCAGGGGGAGGAGGAGGAGAGGAATGAGATGCAGAGGCAGGAGGAGTAGGTGGAACAGATGCAGAGGCAGGAGGAGGAGAAGGACGAGATGCAGAGGCAGGAGGAGGAGAGGGAACAGATGCAGAGGCAGGAGGAGTAGGTGGAACAGATGCAGAGGCAGGAGGAGTAGGTGGAACAGATGCAGAGGCAGGAGGAGGAGGAGATGGACGAGATGCAGAGGCAGGAGGAGGAGAGGGAACAGATGCAGAGGCAGGAGGAGTAGGTGGAATAGATGCAGGGGGAGGAGGAGGAGAGGGACGAGATGCAGGGGGAGGAGGAGGAGAGGGAACAGATGCAGAGGCAGGAGGAGTAGGTGGAACAGATGCAGAGGCAGGAGGAGGAGGAGAGGGACGAGATGCAGAGGCAGGAGGAGGAGAGGGAACAGATGCAGAGGCAGGAGGAGTAGGTGGAATAGATGCAGGGGGAGGAGGAGGAGAGGGACGAGATGCAGGGGGAGGAGGAGGAGAGGGAACAGATGCAGAGGCAGGAGGAGTAGGTGGAACAGATGCAGAGGCAGGAGGAGGAGGAGAGGGACGAGATGCAGAGGCAGGAGGAGGAGAGAAACAAGACAAGATAGAACCTGATGGTGGAACTGTGGGTAGCAGTGGCCAATCCTCTTCCTTGTTGATGGTCATGGTTGGCATCTTCACCATTGGCGTTGAAAGAAGAGCAGTCCTGTAGGCTAGTGCTCCTTAGTTCTATAACTAATTCTACAGCAAATACAGATTATCTCCCCTCTCTGAATAACACTGACCAAACTTGTGACCCTTACCAATCCCATGACATGTCTCCTACAAATATCGATGAAGGAGAGTCTGATGACTCTGTGAATAACTCCATTCAAACTTTTGCCTATATTACATCAAATGGTTTTTCGCCTATCACAAATGATGAACACGAATCAGATGACCTCTCTGACATTAGTAGCAAATCTCATTCTCAAATGAAAACTGTGCAAAAACCCGTAAGTCCTGTCCACAATGACAAAGATGAGTCCATCAACTCTGCTAGGGACATTGAAAATTCTGTGTTAGATGGTACTAAATTCATTAATAATGAATCTGTCCATGAATTGGCAAATGGTTGCATAGACAAATCTTTTTTAAATCAAGATGATTTACTAGACATTCTCACTTCTTACTCCGTTTCAGAAGCCCATCCCTCAATTCCTCAGGGTCTAAAAAACAATGTGTATTTTGTTGTTCAGAATCATAATAATATAGTAGATAATGACAAAAGAAATTCATTCCCTGATGAATGTGGGGCCTGGTCTAAAGGGAATGGTTGTCCAAGAACTTACCTCCTGAAACAAGAATCTGGGGAATACAAACTCACTTATTTAAGACAAAATCTGTACCATTCTAGGAAAAAAAATAAAGGCCAAGTGACTTATGTTCCATTAGAACCACAACCAGACCCTTCCATGGTTTTGACTTTAACTCGATTTTACACAACCCTAAAATTGGACTCCTCTTACAAAAAACGTGTTTCATGGGTAAATTCAGGGGACATTTTTGTAGTAGAATATTTGGGCTTATTCCCTGGGCTAGCCCCTCATGGAAATTCTAAACGTAAACAGGAATATGTACGTACACCACATAATGTCATGCAGGAAATGTCTGAACTCCTAAAACAAAAAAAACCACTTCAAGTGTTTAGTGAATTGAATGCTAAGTATGATGAACTTAGTGGACCCTCTAGTATACTTCAGGTATATGACAAAAAAAGGCGTGACAACAAAAAGATGCGAAAAAATGAGTCTGGACATGTCATACACAGACGCAATATTGCTGACCACATTAGGGAAATTGATAGCTTGGTGACATCTGGCCATAGTTTAGTAAAATCAGTGATAAGAGATCAGGGGAAAGCACCATGTTTAATTCTATACACTGAAGATCAAATTACTGACATTAAAACTTTATGTTGCAGTGGACAGACAATATTAGGTGTTGACAAAACTTTTAATCTTTGTGACATGCATGTCACTGCTACATGCTACAAACAAATCAGAGTAACAAAAGAAAGAACAAAAGAGCCCCCCATCTTTCTTGGACCTTTATTCATTCACGACAATAGCGACTTTGAGTCATACAGTAATTTCTTTTATCATTTGAGAACTAAACTTTCAGATACAGATAAGTCTAAATTAATCTTTGGGTCGGATGAAGAAAAGGCTTTAGTAAAAGCAATTACTGAATGCTTTCCCGAATCAAACCATATATTGTGTAAGAGACATCTTTATCAAAATACAAAACAAAAACTTGTTGATGATAGTGTAGACAAGGCAGACAGACAAAAAATATTAGATCTAATTTTCAGTGATGAGGGATTGATAAATTCTGACGACAGCATTTGCTTCGAACACATTTCAGAGCAAATAGAAGACATATCAAAGGAGCTTTCAGGCAAATTTCTTAAATATTTCAAAAAACTACAGCCAAATCTCAAAGAAAAAGTCAACAATCCCATCAGGCAAGATGTTGTTGATAAACCATGGACAAATAATAATTCTGAGTCATTAAATCATGTCTTAAAACAAGCAATTGATTGGAAATCAAAACCACTCCTTGATTTGGTAAATATACTTACAACACTTATAGAGTCACAGTTTAAAGACCTTAGAAAATCACTTGTGGGGGTAGGACAATTGAAACTAGTAGAAACACATGATCATTTTGGTGTTTCAAAATCAGTATGGGTGACTAAAACGACTGACGAAAGAGATAGGCTGTACAATAGATTCCGACTTTACATTCCACCAGACAAAATGACACTCACATCAACAGACGGTACTACAACTATAGTCAGACCACGCACCTTAGGTAAAAAAATTGGTCAACAAAAACGTAAAAAAGTGGACAGGACTACAACTATCAAAAAATCTAAAATACAGTAGAGCTTCAACTCCCCATACTCAGTCAGTCTTACAGAACAATTAAATCTATGTATTGTTTTTACAATGTTTATTATTTTATGATTTTTGTTTAGAGTAGGGTTAGTATCAGGCAGTATTCCTTCCCCGCCAGACGGGTGCAGATCAGTGAATACTGTTTGGTGTTGTGTTAGGTTAGAACTTAGAGTAGGGTTAGTATCAGGCAGTATTCCTCCCCCGCCAGACGGGTGCAGATCAGTGAATACTGTTTGGTGTTGTGTTAGGTTAGAACTTAGAGTAGGGTTAGTATCAGGCAGTATTCCTCCCCCGCCAGACGGGTGCAGATCAGTGAATACTGTTTGGTGTTGTGTTAGGTTAGAACTTAGAGTAGGGTTAGTATCAGGCAGTATTCCTCCCCCGCCAGACGGGTGCAGATCAGTGAATACTGTTTGGTGTTGTGTTAGGTTAGAACTTAGAGTAGGGTTAGTATCAGGCAGTATTCCTCCCCCGCCAGACGGGTGCAGATCAGTGAATACTGTTTGGTGTTGTGTTAGGATAGGTTAGGAATATAATTTTATCTAATGATGTTAATAAAATTATAAATTATTTTTTCTGTCATTTTCCATAAAGTTATTTAATAATTTACTTTTATGTTTATTGCTCTCTTTGGCTGATATATTTTTATTTATGACAGAAATATTTTGACTATGAATAATGATAAAGTATTTTTTAAGTACCTTTTTCTTTTATTTTTTTTTTTTATTTATCTTTCGGTCCTTTGGCTTTAATATTTTTTATGTTTCAAAAATGTCTTAAATCAAGGCTCTACACTAAGGAGGCCTCCACGTGGCTAGAGCTGGAAACATAAGGAAACTATGGATATTTGTCAGATATTAATATTTTTATTTTCATAAATTCATATTTTCCTTATGGCTAACGTCCTTATTTGAGAATCTGTAAAGCATCATTTAATTTCAATTTTGTTCAATTACATTAATAAAAAAAAAAATAAAAATAAAATGTCTGACAGTAAGGGTATAATTATATGTTGAATGAAAAGACAGTACAATTACAATACAAAATCATTTTAAAATACAAAATTGAATTGAAAATAAAGAACTAATTGAGCATAGTGAAGGTCAGTGTATACACATGCAGTGCCCGAGGGGGTTGGTTGGACAGAGAACAGGTGTTTAAACAAAAGGTGTTTATTACCAACTAGACCAGGTGTCAACAGCTGTGTATATATATTGCATGTATACATACAGGGGGGTGGCTGCCTGTACCAGTAACTACCAACAAACCTGGCTGATGTGTAAATAGTATTATCACAATATTCCCTCAACATGTGGTCACATATGCAACATGCACATATTATTAATTTTTATGGAACTTTCTATTTTTAATAGACCTGTGTTCAAATAATTTCATTCTTGGATAATACTAACTGCTTTTTAATATCAATGAGTATTCATTTTCTTTTCAAACATGCAAAAAAACATCATTAGAAAAAAAAAAAAAATAAATAAATAAATATAAAAATAAAAAAAAAGGGAATCAACAACAATAACAAAGTACATGAAAAATTAAGTAAATATCATATTTAGATGCAGACAAAATCAAACAGAACACATGATAACAAAATATTAAATAAATAAATAAATATTATAGAAATGAATATATGAAATAAAGGAAAAATAAATATATAAATAAATAAATAACTTTAAAATATAAAATAAATAAATATATAAAAATATATAATACATAAATAAATTCCAAATTAAAATTTCACCCAAATATTTACACTGTGCTTTTTATCAACCATATTGAGTCTCTTGGCTTATGTAGAAATGTACTTAGGGGACAAACATAGTATCTCATTGTCCTTATATTACAGTAACACATACATTTCACAAATATTTCCAAATTCTGCAGCATAACTTTCGATATAAAACTTCCATTTGAAGGGGTACAAAACTACTGTGAACAAAAGGAGTCAATTAAGCCCTGAAATATGTTGATTTCTATTATTTTTAATTATATTTAATTTTTATTCGTTTTTTATTTCCTTTTATGTATTTATAATCATGTTAATTCTTATTATAAAATTCCTATATACTATCATTCACTTTTTAGAAGCATTAATATTTTTCACGTACAACTTGGAACTAGTAGTTGTCAGCGATCGCGATTTTATATCGGGCGTGGTATACGGTATACCACTACAACTAGTAATGGCGTCCGATTTTTGTCGATTCTCAGGTAAAATTGGCTATAAAAATGTACGGATAACAATATCATTCAAGTAATCACCACCTAAACCCTTTATGTATCCCAACTAATTCATTTTAAGGGGGATTCTACCTTTTTGTGGGGGATTCTTCTTCCTGTAGCGGGATTCTCCCGAAATCCCGGGATTCCTGAAAGTCCTAGCACCGGTGGATTTATATACAACTTGAGATCTGAATGTTAATTCATATGAATAGAATTATACATGAATATACTATTTATGCATGCATATATCTTGTTGATCTCTAGAAGGATATATAGCATACCCCCCTTTTTTTTTTTTACAATTCTATCCTGAAGACTTACAATGAGGGTTTTTTTTTCGAAAAAAGATAGGCAAGCACATAATTTCTTTTGAAAAGTTTTAGAATCAATAAAGCATTCATCATAGAAAACAAAGAAAACAAAAATAAAATTGAAACAAAATTCTGGCATGAATATAATCCTAGATTCCTCTGACTCTCAACCCTGTGAGGGGGAGATGTCTCCCTCGCACATGTCCTTCTATGCACACATGTCACAAAATAAAAAGGCGGTTAGACCTACACAGCTAGAATCTGAGGAATCTCGGATTGGCATGAATATTCCGTATCTTCGTCTTACATTAGTATAATGATAGGGGAGATATTTGCTTCTCGTAATGCTCATCTTGAATAATTATGATAGATGTCATGTCCTACCTGTTCTGACTGGCCTTAGGTACTCGGACTGACGGCACTGTGGCACTAACTCAGTAACTGTGGGCTAAGTTTTGTTGACAAATTACGAGAACCAACACGTGCTTCCGGTTAGGGAAATGGTAAAAGTTAAATCAACACGGTATGTTCCCGAATATTGTTCAAAGCGACTCCGTGACGCACAAACGGGAAATTTGACAATAATTGAATTTTTACGTGACCCGTGCAAATTTTGTTCAATTCCTGAAAGTATTAGGTTTCAAAAATTACAGTTTTCAGAACCTAAAAAATCTACTTTTATGGAGAAAAAAATGTCTGCCCCGACGAAAAAAAGGTTGAAGAAGTTAATTACTAGGGGCTGAAATTCCCCAAAAATGAATGTAGGTAGACATTCATTTTTTTAAATTTAATTTTAAATAATTTTAACTTGATAAAATCTTCAAAAAAGATTATCGGAACATAATTCTTACCTTTGCGTGGTCCAATTAGTTAAGTTCACATTAAAAATAATAAAAGTCGCGTGACCTTGACATGCATGCATGTTTTACAGTGCAGTTGAGTTTGAGTAGTTGAGTACTATATATTTCATAAATCTTTCGCTTTATGACACGATTATCTTAAAAGAAACATATGATTTTGACCCATTAAGTAAACTTAAACATACGAGCGTGCAGTCTACATTTTGCTTAAATAGGTCTTTGATTTTGCTAATAGTTCTAAAAATGTGTGTAAAATTATGTGAACAAGATGTTGAGCTTACAATTAATGATCAATTTTACACATTAATTGAATTATTTCTGTTAGATATACTATATATGAATGCGTTTAGAAAGGCAATATAAGTTCAATAACTTCTTTATAATATAGCTAAAACATTTCCCATGATTTTATATTAATTATTTCAATTAATACAAGAAACATATTGACGCAAGCGTCAAAAATCGGCCGCAAACCAATTGTTCCTTTTATGAGGCAACAACTGAAAAGCGTGATCTGTTGTTAATATTTCTGATATTAATCTGTGTTTATCCCGGTGAAATAAAGCAGTGCATGCGATATTGCAGGCGCGGATTTTATTTTTCAAGAACAATCTAAATTTTCTTCACAAATATTTGGGACTCCTCTCTCTCTCTCATGCAAATCCAAAGGAGGGTGTTGAAACCCCCACAACCCCCTCTAGATCCGCCGCTGCAGTTTCTTTGTTATGGCGGGAAAATGCTTGGCACATTGTAAAATGCGCGTTATCCTCGTCTGCTGGAGAAAATATCTCGTAATATTCTGTCTTTTAAGAAATTCAAATTTATCATATTTTTAAAAATTTACCATAGGAAATGTATATATTTACGTCATTTTAAAACAAATACAATAAATCCTGTTTAAATAGAGAAAGTAATATTGGTTATATATGTATAGATATCTCGGTCTTTCCTTTAGATAATGCCCAACATGTGTGATATCAGAGTTCGTCAATCACGATTCGACCAGATAAAACATTTACCCAATTATTTTATTGAATTCCAATTTTATAATTATTATGCGTTTTTGTGGAACATTTAGACACTCTTTATTAATATTCTATATGAATGTTGAATATTTTTATTCTTTTTTTAACTCCGCAGAAACGCAGGACTACTTCAAACTTTCATATCAAATAACCGACCGCCTCCTGGCGGCCGGTAATAAAAAAAACTTAAAATTAATGACAAAATTTCAGTATCGGTATATTCAAATTAAAACTCTTCAATATCAACGTCTTTCCTGCAAGTGTTCAATATCACATCATTCCAATGACCCTCCCATACCATATGGTATGTCAAACGTCTCAGTATTCGATCTTTTCCGTTTTTATTGTATAATTTTCCATTTGTATTGTATAATTCTTATTTGTATTCTATAATTTTTCCATTTGCATTCTATAATTTTCCATTTGAATTGTATAATTTATTTGTATTTCATATTTTCCATTTTCATTGTATAATTTCTTAATTATATTGTATATAATTTTTCATTTGTATATATTCGATAATTTTTCATTTCTATTCGATATTTTTCATTTGTATTGTATCAGAGGATTGTTTGTTTCGTTATGAAGGATTTCATCGCCATACATGATTCTATAGATGAATATGGTTAGTAAATACTCTTCCACTATGATTTCAGGTTAAAAAAAGGCTGCAATTCTCGGAAAAGTCATCTTTTGATAAAATGACCAAATCAGGATATATATAACATTCAAACAAAGAAGTTGCTTAAAATAGCTAATTGGACAATAAAATTCTTAGTGCACTTGAAAGAAACGAATATTATCCACAAATCTGGTATACTTAAAATTTTACAATAATTTCGATATATCCACGGTCATAAGTATGTGTTATAGAGGTAATCAGGGCGGATTCAGGATTTGTCCGGGGTTGGGATGGGGTGTCCACACCAACAAATGCCAGACTTGAAAATTTTTTGACAAACAAAAAAAAAGGGGGGGGGGGAGAAGCAACCTGTCTAAACCTGTAAAACCCATTTTGTGGAAAACTTTTCCTATAGTCAATTTTCTTTAGATACATGACTCTCCATACCGTTTTTTAAAGAGGGTTCCGTGTTTCCCGGGGGGGGGGGGTTCAAGGTCTTTTTCCGTTTCTTTTACTTAGAAATTCAATAACTCTGAAAATTCCAAAGGGAAGAGAGTGACCCCTCTCGACCCCCTCTAATTATTGAAATAAACCTGAAGTTGACATTATATTCGTTTTTCTGATGTTGTGTTTTGAACGGCAAAGCATGATTGCTGTCACGAATCTAGTATTGTTAAAATGTTAGGTAAAAATCGTTACGGAAGTTAATTGTTGCAGAAGTTTATTTTCAGCAAAAAAGTTATAATTCTCGTCAATAGATATAATTTAAGTTACTCAAAAGTTTAAAGTATTTCTTCCCAAGATATATTACTATGTATATAGTGGGTGTATTTTTTGTATGGAATGATTATTTTGAGTTTTTTCCGATTTTTCCTATGATATACATAATAAACAAGTGTAATAACTGTGGGGAAAACCCTGGGATTGTCCACATGTACTCAGTAATATACTTTTGGGTAAACTTAGAGAAACAAGTGCCCGTTCATTAAGAATTCATTTACAAATTCTAAAAATTCAGTATTTGAAATTTTCTTAAAATTTTTTGGAAATTACCTATACGAGTAGAGACAATATCTGATTCCATTGTGAATTTGAGTCTCTCTGTGTCGTAGCTGTGGAAGAAGTCGCCCGTCGATGGATTATTGTCTCCTATAAGTGAATTCGGGCTTTACAATGTAATTTAGCAGTGTAAAAAAATCAACGAACAAATCTAAAATAAAATAATTTTTAAACTTTTTAAAGATCTTATATAAATGTGACAGTAAATGCCACCAGAAATGTAAACTGAACAGTCTGGTCACCGTACCTACTATGGAGGTTGTTTCTGGTCGGTACTGTATAACCTTAAGAAAAGCCTCCTTGAATAGAACACCTTCGCTGTTTTCAGACATGCACTGATAAACTCCCGTGTCAGAGTCTTTCTGTACATTGATGGTTAGCGTATTGTGGTCAGGGCTCAAAATGTACTTGTCTGCAAACGTGTAAGAATTTTTCAGTTATAAAATGGTTATCTATACTTATACTTAATTGTCACTCAAAATGTAATTGTCTGAAAAAGTCCAGAGTATTTTTAATGGATATCTCTACTTTAGAATCCTCTCTACACTGCACACTATATAGAGAGTTCTGATTCTATGGTATTTTTCTGCAGTTAGAGTGAACTGCCCTTAGATCTTAATTCCAATAAATAGAAATTTACAGTATATTACTCAATTTATAATCAATACAAGTATTCTTAACATTTTTAAAAGCCTATAGATAAATTAATTGAACACATTATTTACATGTATTTTCTTCATGGAAGTAAACAATTGTGATTTCTGTTCACTGATACTATGTTGTGTTTGAACATTTTTCCTGGAGGTAAATGCCACGTACAATATATTGAAAATCAAATAGATAAGTTCAATATTTACACCTTTATTCAATATAATTTTCTCGATGTCCAAAAACCATTTTGCACTGGCGTAGAGAGGGTCTTAAACTAAATTATTTCTTTGATCACCAAAAATTCACATTTTCAAGAATCATTTATTAATCCTACCTTCATCAATCGGTAGAGCCACTCCATTTTTCATCCACTTGGGAGGGGATGGTACTTCTTCTCCAGGTAATGATACAGCCTGACAGTAAAATGTGGCATTTTTTCCAACTGACACCAACAAATCATTCATCTGGGGATTTTTAGAATCTGAATCAAGCATCGGGGCAGCTGAAAAAAATGTACATCATTTACATGCAGATGAAAATCACAATGTAAGGAAGCTCAAAGGTATCACAGCTCATTAATTCAAGATAACTTATACATCGTAAGAAAATTCACAACTAGAGGTACTGTGAGCGAGCTCAAAAAATGGTACCCTGCTGCATTTTTTTTTAAAAGACTTGTGTCAATTCAAATTCAAAAGAGACCCTGAACTTACAAAAATGCCTTGGTATAAAATGACACACATTTGGTCATAAGTAATCTTTTAGTGAAATATGAACATCTAATATTTCTCCATTAGAAAAGTCTAACCTTCATGAACTTAACACTTTTTATACCAGTGACCTTGAACTTGCAAGAATGACCTTGGGTCAAGGTTATGACATACCTACAGGTCATGAATAATTTTTGTATCAAGTATGAGCTTCCAAATGATTTTCCATTACAAAGTTATAGCCCGGACAAGAATTCTATTATCTTTCTCTCAGTGACCTTGAACTTGCAAGAATGACATTCAGTCAAGGTCATGACACACTCACAAGTCAAACAATTTTGTACCAATTATGAGCTTTCAATGAATCTCCATTACAAAATTATAGCCGAGATAAGATATCAATACTTTATTTGTCAGTGACCTTGAACTTGCGGGAATGACCTTTGGTCGAGGTGTTGACACTCCCTCTAGTCATGACTAATCTCTCTATTATAAAGTTATAGCCCAGACAAAAATTTCATACTTTTCTGCCAAAGACCTTGCACTTGCCGAAATGACCTTGATTCAAGGTCAAGAAACTCCCTCGAGTCATGATCAATTTCTTTATCAAATACGAGTTTCCAATGATTCTCTATTACATAGACATAGCTGGGGCAAGATTTCTTTACTTTTTTCTGACTCCTAAATGTATATACCCCAAACCTTGTCAGTCGTCAGGGGGTATAACTTGCATAGCTTTTCAGTTCTAGATATTTTATGATTCAATTGTGTCAAAATTAGTGTGAAGCTCCACTTGGACTAGAATTTCATTCTTACACTGATTTCGAAATGCATGTGTACAGACTCTGAACACGTAACCAGCAGCTCTTTATCGTGAGACTTTACTTTTTTCCGTAAGATATATACCGTTCAAGCTTCTACTTATGCATTTAATATAATTAACTTACAGGTAACATTTAGAAAAACGTGTTGTGTGTTCGTCTTGTTAATGCCTTTTCCTCTACAAGCGTAAAGACCTTCATCATCCGGCATTGCATCCTTAATGGTCAGCCCCCTGTCGTAATCGCTGATCACATATTTGGCAGAATTCTTGATAACTGCATTGTCAGGAGAAACCCACTCAATATCTGGTGTTGCACTACAAACAAAATTGATCAATAACATGATTGCTAATGAAATATGGAGATAAGGAACAGCATTCAAGCTCAAAGTCCATTAAAACAATACAAATCGGAGTAGAACAAACACGGACCTCCAAAAACATCAGAGGTGGGATCAGGTGCCATGGAGGAGTGAACATCCCCTGCCAACCGGTCACACCCGCCGTGTGCTCCTTGTAATGATTGGTAAATTACGGAAAAATCCGTGGACAATTCAGTGTGTAAATAATGGCCTAACGATTAGTTTGAAAAACGCCAGTCAGCATATTAATTAATGATAGATTGTATTTGCTGACAAGGTCAATGTATCGACCATAGAACTTACGAAATGATGACTTTAAACGAGACTGTTGATATTCTTGTTTCATCAACTTGTTTGCCAATAACTTACATCGTATTAGAAATTGTTCATACGTAGAGCATGAACTTGCATATCGAATCAATAGAGAGATATACACCCATATGCCGGTGATGAAGGTATATTGCTGCATAAGTAAAGGAAGTTGACGATTGAAAAGTCATCACGTTTATCATAAAGCTTTGTGACCATTAACCATTAACGTCTTTTTCTAGTAAAATATCCAAATATGAAACAGATGTGTCAGACTCTATGGTATCTTTTATTTCAAGCTCAGTGGGATATATCGTGTCGACATATGAATGGAAATAACTATTGTTAATTGATAATACGTCGTCGATATATCTAAATGTCGAGTGGAAGGCCACAGCAAGAGGTTTTTTTTCATGTAAAAGATTGTGAATAAATTCTGCTTCATATGAAAACAAAAATAGGTCTGCTAACAACGGGGCGCAATTGGTACTCATGGGAATTCCAACAGATTGTTGGAAGACCTGGTCTCCAAAAACCACATAGATATTGTCAATCAGAAACTCAAATATCTTTTTAATATTAACTTTAGAGTACTTGTGTGTACAATCAGAATGTTTTTAACAAAATATGTTTGCAAATGACCAATGACAAGGTACTAAGTAAATTTACGAGTTCATTTTTATTGAAAAAGCAGCTGTCAACGATGTCAAAAAACCTAGACTTTAATTTATCTAGGGGAGCGGTTGTATACAGATTTGAAAAGTCGTAAGTTTTTATGTTATTGATTTTTGGTAAAATTTTGTGATTTCAAATTTTCAAAATTTCTTTGGAATTTTTAAGCATCCACATCTGATTTACACCACTTCTCGAAAAAATTGTTGCACAGTACTATTGAAGTTCAACTTCACTGCTGTTAATCTTTTAGTGAGGAGTAAAGATAGAGGCAAGCAAATAATCTTTATTTTTCCACAAAGGATACAATTTGGTTGACAGAGTTAGACTAGTCTGAAAGATTTGTGATAGAAATCAGACATTGTTTGCAATAGGATGTATGTGTGAATTATTTTATATTATTCTTAATTGTAGTAACGGCATTTGATTTAATTTAATTCTACTCACTATCCTGAAAACATGCATTTGAGAACACCCTCTCCTCGGTACTGGGCTTTACCATGGGATCTATAGACCACAATAGGATCCAAGTTAGGGTCCAAAGAAGCATCTGAAGAACACAATCAAACACTGATAAAGTACCTCAGTTTAAATGAAAAAAACACACTATTTAATTAAAACATATTTGGAATCACTAGAGACATCAAAATATTTTTTAAATTAATTTAATTATTAATTTCCTTTTAAATGTGATGTATTTAGCGATTCAGAGGATATTTAATCCCTTCTGCTAAGTGATAATATGGTGAAATTTAGCTCCTTACTGAAAATTCTGAGAGTTGTTATACTGCCAACGACCAACATCTTGAGTTGTTCTTGCCACACTCCACACTTGTAGTTTAATCCAGTCCAGTCTGTGTTGTTTGTCCATATGAAATGGAGATCACCTGAAAAAGCAGTATATACATACATTTACAGCATTTGCACTTAACATTTATCTGAGCCCAGTAGAATGAATTTATATGTGTATTATTTTGCATTTACAATTATCTGAACAATTAGTAACATATAGTTTAGTGGAAAGAATCTATGTAATCTATGTAATCTATGTAAACTATCTATCTTTGCACTCACCATTTCCATCCACCCCGACTCTCTTCGATAACTCCACATTCGTCTTGGTGCCCTCTCCAATTTTCCATTCCACTCTGCATTCAGATTCTGGTGAACATTCTGGTTTGTCTCGGCAGGGGATTTTACAGTGTTCAAATTCCTTACATTGTATTTCCTCGGGTTCTTTTGAGGGAAAAGCTCCCATTGCTACAAAAATATGGTTTGAAACACTCAGTGAAAAATAATAACAAGAGCTCATTTGCCACAAAATTCTCTAGAGTTTTTTTCTTCATAATAAATATGGAATGAAAAAGATATGTGAAACACCTTATTTCATCATCAACTTAAAAACTTTTTTAAAAAACTTTTTAAAAAATTCCAACAATTTAAATTTACAGGTCACTGAGTCCTTATGTATGTCATGTTAACAAATATAAGTCTTGTTCTATGAATAATTACATTCTTTGTGAAATTCTTTTGGCCGCTTTATTGTGATTTGAATTATAAACCTATCAGTCAGTCTAGGTGACCAGATGTGTTTTTGCAAGGCTTTATCCTCTCCAAACCAATAAATTAAAAATATGAGAAAAAAATGATGGATTTCAGTGCCAATGCCTCTTTATAGATCAATACTGGACTCATTTAGTGGGATATCTAAATCCTTCATTGAAAAAAAAGATATATACCTGAAGAGATTGTGAGTATTTCAGAGTTTCTAAAAGTTAAATTGAACAAAAAAAAGTTAACCTTTAACAAAGAGAAGTACCATTTTATATTAAGCTTATAACAAAGCAATCTTCTACATAACAGAGAAGAAACTGTAAACCGACTGATATTCGCGTCATCTTTTATTCGCGATTCCTCAGTTTGAAATGAATCCTCGATGATTAATTTTCGCGATTGAGGAAACTTTCTCTCTAAATACAAAGCAAAATAAATGGTTCGCGGCGATTAATATTCGCGAATTAAAGTAGGTCGCGAGACTCGCGAATATTTTTCACACGCGAATAAAAGTTGGTTTGCAGTAGTCGAAATGGAAGAATTTATAAAATACCATGTGAAACAGTTACTGTCACAATTTACCAGTCGACCAGCACATTGCATATTGAAGGAGATGCAGCATTTATATGGTACAATGACTTCCAGGACTCTCCTAAATATGATCACAATAATGCTACTGAGAATGCAATGTGATAAGGAAAGCAAAGTTGTTATTGAGCAAACACTTCCCTATCAACATTGTGTATGAACTCTAAAATCTACCTACAAAGCTAGGAAAAATAACAAACAAACAAACTGCTGACATTACCGGGTAATTGTGACTAGTGCAGCAGTGCAGAGATCATGAAGCGATTTTCTGAAATGGTGAAACAATTAATACAGGAAGTTGAAATTTTTAAAGTTGGGTAGCTATTGAATTTATTCCTTTATTTATTTAAATTTTGCACAATTTGAAGTCATTTTAAGGCAATTATCTTTTTATCTCACACTACATGTATGTACCGCTTCGCGGTTTATAAAGCGTAAACTGTACCAATTCAGTTTATACCGTATTAATTGGGTAGCTATTGAATTTATTCCTTAAATAAAATATCCATTTACGTGATTCAGAAATTCCATTATTGGTTTTTTCTGAGTTACTGACATAAGTAAAACAATTAATGCATAAATGCATTCATTTCTTAAAAACTACCTATCTTAATATAATAGATCTTTAAAGTATTGTAAAGTATTGATCTCTTTGAAATGAAAACAAGAGGCCCATGGGCCACATCGCACACATGAGCACATTTGCTAGAAATAAAGCAGAAATCAGTTTAGTATTGAAAAGATTAAATATATAGATGATCATAAATACCCCCTCCCCCAGGGAATGGGGGGACATGATTTATTCACACTTGAATCTACATATTTCTTGACTAATGATGGCTTTAGAAGTTTGATCTTCTATTGTGGCCCCGCCCTACTCCCAGCGGACATGATTTGAAGAAATCTTTAATGTAACCTACCTGAGAATGCTTCCATATAAATATGTCTAATCACTGCTTTACTGTTCTTGAGAAGAAATTTTTTAAAGATTTTGCATTTGAATGCCTAGGTAAAAAAATATGATCGCACATTGCGGCCCCTCCCAACCCCCGGGGTCACGATTTGTACAAAGTTAAATTTACACTACCTGAAGATTCTTCTATATAAATATGACCGATCATGCATGGCTTTGCTTTTCTTGAGAAGTAGATTTTGAAGATTTTTCCTATATATTTTTACGTAAAAAATTGTTTGCTCATTGTGATCCCATCCTAGCCCTGAGGGTCATGATTTGAACAAATTTGAATCTACACTACCTGAGGATGCTTCCTTATAAATATCCATCATATATGGCTTTGCTGTTCTTGAAAAGAAGTTTTTAAAGATTTTTCCTATACATGTATATTTCTACGTAAAAATTTGTTTGCTCATTGTAACCCCACCCTGGACCCAGGGGTCATGGTTTGAACAAACTTGAATCTCCCCACCTAAGGATGCTTCTATGTAAATATTACCACTCTGAATCATAGCTCTACTGTTCCTGAGAAGAAGATTTTTAAAGATTTTTTCCTATAATTTCCTATGTAAAAATTTGATCGCTAATTGTGGCCCCACCCTACCCCCAGGGGTCATGATTTGAAGAAACTGGAATTTACATTATGTCAGAAAGCTTTCACACACCTTTCATCTTTTCTGGCCTAGTAGTTCTTGAGAAAAAGATTTTAAAAACCCTTCCCATTTTCACTATTTCTTAATTATCTTCCCATGGAACAGAGTGTTGCCCTAATTCATCTGAACAAACTTGAATTCCCTTAACCAAAGAATACTCTGTGTTAAGTTTGGTTGAAATTAGCTCAGTGGTTCTGGAGAAGAAGATGAAAATGTGAAAAGTTTACGACAACAACGATAGACAACGGACAAATTTCGAGTAGCTGCTCAGGATAGCTAAAAAAATTTATTTCGTTGAATAGCAAATCTATTGAAGTATTGATTGCAGATATACATGTAATTATGTTAAAACACGTTGGTTTGGTTTAAACGTAATTGTATTTTATTTTACCGAAACGCTTTGAACTCAATTAAATTGGTTCCATATGAAATCATTTGAAATTATGCGTGCAATGCTTATTTAGTTAGAGTTATAATTTTTTAATAAAAGACCTAGAGATCAGCATATTTCACTAGAAAATGACCGAGGCACCCGTAGAACACCATCTTTAAATATACATGACTGTATATATACAATTATAATTTATAATTTTTATACAGATATTGTGACTACAATTATGAAGAGGCAGTACTTTTCAACACAACAATTTTAGTCACGATTCGAGATAAATTGTCTTGTCATGTCGTATTGATAACAAAGAAATGAAGTAAGCAATATGTCTACATTCTAAATGCAATAATGTGACAAGTTTGGACACTACGATAATTATTATAAAATTAAATATATTAATAATAAAGACATATTGATAGCCGGGACAAAAAGTATATTCCACTGTTTAACATTATCTCGGACACCTGGAGTGTTTTAAACCCCCCTCCCCCCAATTATTAAATAAGCTTAAAAAATATATACTTGTATTACTGTAATTTTTTATGTTTACTAAGAAAACCGTCTTTACAGACCGATTTATGGACATGATTGACGGGGAAATCATACATTTTGTAGAAATTAGAGGTCTACATTTTGTTCATATAAACACGCTATCCACATTTTAGGTGCATTGAACTTCTGTGTGTAACATTTGTTGTTACTTTTTAATGAATTTGAAAAAGGGGTTTGGGGTAAAATACATCATGTACCAATGAAGTTTGAAATAAAATATTATTTTCCGAAAAAGTTTCGAATATATTCGACTATCGTTCGAATAATGCAATCGAATATTCGACTAAAGAAAATAAATATTTTGACATCCCTAATAATTATATATGACTCCAGCATGCTGCATTATTGGAAAGACATATGCAGGCAGGACATCGTTGAATATGAACTAAATTAATCTTACTTGTATACAATACTATTGCCCATATCATATCACTACCAACACCAAATTTATCAACCTCCCAGAATCTGTTTTCTGCAAAACGTTCGCTACGAAACTTATGCACTCTAACTCTTTCATCAGTCTTTACAATAAAAAATCTGGATCCTTAGCTAAACCAAACCATTCAGCAGTGTTGCTGTGGCCATACTCTGTTGATCTGAGATCTTTGAAGTCGATATTGGCGGTGTTGTGGGGTCAGAACAAAGGAACGAATAAGTCCTTTGGCTCTAATTCCAGTGTCCCGTAGTCAAAACAAATATATATACTGTGCAGTTCAGGGATAACTAACGATGTAGAGGACGTCATTGTGGAACGTTGACGAAGATGACGCAAACCAGTAAAGCGATCCTGTGTTTCTGATGTTACGCGTAGTTTCCCATATCTTTGGTGTACAATGCTGTCGGTATCTTATTTAGCTATGGTGCTTTGTGCAACATTAAAATCTCTTGCATTTGTAGACTTTGGTACACCTGTTTCGAGTCTTCAAATTTTCTTTTTGTGTTCTGCATCATTCAGGTGCGGCAATTTTAAAAAGGCTAAGCGTAAATTTTCAAAAATACGAGAATAAAAATTTTGATAGACTGTTTGTACCTGAATGACGTGGATCAGAAAGCAACAATAGAAAAGTGTCAGAAAGACAAAGTTTTAACCTTTTCAATATCAAGTCTCTTTGTCTATGAGTTTTGCAGACTAATTTCTAGTTTACAATAGCGTTAAATTAAAAGCGATGTAACATTTGTACTTTACTTGCATGAATCATATACATCTTAAAAATGGCAAGACAAAACTATTTTATATCATTCAGCGTATTATTCCCATTATGCGTCTCTTTTTTTGAACAGTATATTTGCAAGGATCTGGAAAATTAAGTATAAATTTCAAGTATAAGGGGTTATTTAATCTTGAAAGATATCTGAATTCGAGAAACCGAGACAGCCAGGTAATTCTCACAAAATTCAGAATTAGAAACCAAGGACTACGTGTACAAACAGACACAGAAGAAAATTGTTAAATTTCTATGGTTGAAATTCTTCCTAAGTGTGAGAAAGTCTATATCACTGTATTCCAAAATTCAATAGAAGATGAATTACATTATCTGCAGGAATTTTCGCTGTATAATAATCCTAG